TACTGCAACTACTGTGAGGTACAAGTACTGCAACTACTGCTGATACAGAGAGTACTGCAACTACTCTGAGATACAAGTACTACAACTACTCTGAGGTACAAGTACTGCAACTACTCTGAGGTACAAGTACTGCAACTACTGCTGATACAGAGAGTACTGCAACTACTCTGAGGTGCAAGTACTGCAACTACTGTGAGGTATAAGTACTGCAACTACTCTGAGATACAAGTACTGCAACTACTCTGAGGTATAAGTACTGCAACTACTCTGGGGTACAAGTACTGCTGATACAGAGACTACTGCAACTACTCTGAGGTGCAAGTACTGCAACTACTGCTGATACAGAGAGTACTGCAACTACTCTGAGGTGCAAGTACTGCAACTACTGTGAGGTACAAGTACTGCAACTACTGCTGATACAGAGAGTACTGCAACTACTCTGAGATACAAGTACTGCAACTACTCTGAGGTACAAGTACTGCAACTACTCTGAGGTACAAGTACTGCAACTACTGCTGATACAGAGAGTACTGCAACTACTCTGAGGTGCAAGTACTGCAACTACTGTGAGGTATAAGTACTGCAACTACTCTGAGATACAAGTACTGCAACTACTCTGAGGTATAAGTACTGCAACTACTCTGGGGTACAAGTACTGCTGATACAGAGACTACTGCAACTACTCTGAGGTGCAAGTACTGCAACTACTGCTGATACAGAGACTACTGCATCTACTCTGAGATACAAGTACTGCAATTACTGCTGATACAGAGAGTACTGCAACTACTCTGAGATACAAGTACTGCAACTACTGCTGATACAGAGAGTACTGCAACTACTCTGAGGTACAAGTACTGCAACTACTGCTGATACAGAGAGTACTGCAACTACTCTGAGATACAAGTACTGCAACTACTGCTGATACAGAGAGTACTGCAACTACTGCTGATACAGAGAGTACTGCAACTACTCTGAGATACAAGTACTGCAACTACTGCTGATACAGAGAGTACTGCAACTACTCTGAGGTACAAGTACTGCAACTACTGCTGATACAGAGAGAGTACTGCAACTACTCTGAGATACAAGTACTGCAACTACTGCTGATACAGAGAGTACTGCAACTACTCTGAGGTACAAGTACTGCAACTACTTTGAGGTACAAGTACTACAACTACTCTGAGGTACAAGTACTGCAACTACTGCTGATACAGAGAGCACTGCAACTACTCTGAGGTACAAGTACTGCAACTACTCTGAGGTATAAGTACTGCAACTACTCTGGGGTACAAGTACTGCTGATACAGAGACTACTGCAACTACTCTGAGGTGCAAGTACTGCAACTACTGCTGATACAGAGAGTACTGCAACTACTCTGAGGTGCAAGTACTGCAAGTACTGTGAGGTACAAGTACTGCAACTACTGCTGATACAGAGAGTACTGCAACTACTCTGAGATACAAGTACTGCAACTACTCTGAGGTACAAGTACTGCAACTACTCTGAGGTACAAGTACTGCAAACTACTCTGAGGTACAAAGTACTGCAACTACTCTAAGGTACAAGTACTGCAACTACTCTGAGATACAAGTACTGCAACTACTCTGAGGTACAAGTACTGCATCTACTCTGAGATACAAGTACTGCAATTACTGCTGATACAGAGAGTACTGCAACTACTCTGAGGTAAGTACTGCAACTACTGCTGATACAGAGAGTACTGCAACTACTCGAGGTAAAAGTACTGCAACTACTGCTGATACAGAGAGTACTGCAACTACTCTGAGGATACAAGTACTGCAACTACTGCTGATACAGAGAGTACTGCAACTACTCTGAGGTACAAGTACTGCAACTACTGCTGATACAGGAGTACTGCAACTACTCTGAGGTACAAGTACTGCAACTACTGCTGATACAGAGAGTACTGCAACTACTCTGAGATACAAGTACTGCAACTACTGCTGATACAGAGAGTACTGCAACTACTCTGAGGTACAAGTACTGCAACTACTGCTGATACAGAGAGTACTGCAACTACTGCTGATACAGAGAGTACTGCAACTACTCTGAGGTACAAGTACTGCAACTACTCTGAGGTACAAGTACTACAACTACTCTGAGGTACAAGTACTGCAACTACTGCTGATACAGAGAGCACTGCAACTACTCTGAGGTACAAGTACTGCAACTACTCTGAGGTATAAGTACTGCAACTACTCTGGGGTACAAGTACTGCTGATACAGAGACTACTGCAACTACTCTGAGGTGCAAGTACTGCAACTACTGCTGATACAGAGAGTACTGCAACTACTCTGAGGTGCAAGTACTGCAAGTACTGTGAGGTACAAGTACTGCAACTACTGCTGATACAGAGAGTACTGCAACTACTCTGAGATACAAGTACTGCAACTACTCTGAGGTACAAGTACTGCAACTACTCTGAGGTACAAGTACTGCAACTACTCTGAGGTACAAGTACTGCAACTACTCTGAGGTACAAGTACTGCAACTACTCTGAGATACAAGTACTGCAACTACTCTGAGGTACAAGTACTGCATCTACTCTGAGATACAAGTACTGCAATTACTGCTGATACAGAGAGTACTGCAACTACTCTGAGGTACAAGTACTGCAACTACTGCTGATACAGAGAGTACTGCAACTACTCTGAGGTACAAGTACTGCAACTACTGCTGATACAGAGAGTACTGCAACTACTCTGAGGTACAAGTACTGCAACTACTGCTGATACAGAGAGTACTGCAACTACTCTGAGATACAAGTACTGCAACTACTGCTGATACAGAGAGTACTGCAACTACTCTGAGGTACAAGTACTGCTGATACAGAGAGTACTGCAACTACTGCTGATACAGAGAGTACTGCAACTACTGCTCATACAGAGAGTACTGCAACTACACCGACATTAAAAGTACTGCATCTACAGTAAAAGTACTGGTTGCCTCTCCTCTCCCCTGACGACGGTTGCCATGGTTTCCGACTCCAGATGAAGGTTTCTATCTGTCCGCTCATCACTGCCCCGCCCCCCCCCCCCCCCCCCCCCACGGTGTGCTATATGAGCACAGGTGCATTGTGGGAAGTAGATCTGTCTCTCTGCAGGTAATAAACTCTGTGAGGATCCCATCAAACAGATACTGCATATATATAAATATATAGTGTATATATATATATATATATATACAGTGGATTTTGTAAGTTTTCCCACTTACAAAGAAATGAACAGTCTATCATTTTAATGGTAGGTGTATTATACTAATGAGAGAAAGAAAATCCAGAAATTGACATCATATAAAGATAAAAATGTATTTGCATTTAACTCTGGGATTTAAGTATTTGATCCCCTTGCAGAACATGTGTTGGTTCTTGGTGGAGAAACCCTTGTTGGACAGCAGAGGTCACACAGAAGTCAGACAGAGGTCAAACAGAGGTCACACAGAGGTCAGACTCTTCTTGTAGTTGGTCTAGAGGAGTACACCGGCTGGGCGTAATAAAGTAGTTCTTAACTCTAACGTCGGGCTGAGCTACGTCTGACTTAGTGATTCAAATGTACGAGTCACGGTCGTAGCACTCTGAGGTCCTGAGACAGATCTTTAGTCTCACTCTGAGGTCCTGAGACAGATCTTTAGTCTCACCCTGAGGTCCTGAGACAGATCTTTAGTCTCACTCTGAGGTCCTGAGACAGATCTTTAGTCTCACTCTGAGGTCCTGAGACAGATCTTTAGTCTCACTCTGAGGTCCTGAGACAGATCTTTAGTCTCACTCTGAGGTCCTGAGACAGATCTTTAGTCTCACTCTGAGGTCCTGAGACAGATCTTTAGTCTCACTCTGAGGTCCTGAGACAGATCTTTAGTCTCACCCTGAGGTCCTGAGACAGATCTTTAGTCTCACTATGAGGTCCTGAGACAGATCTTTAGTCTCGCCCATGGTAGAGAGGCTGGAAGTGATTGATTCTGTGGACAGGTGTCTGTGGACAGGTGTCTGTGGACAGGTGTCTTTTATACAGGTAACAAGTTAATATCAGGAGTACTTTCTTAAAGGAACAGGACTTGGGTCTGTGGGAGCCAGAATCCTTGTTGGTTGCAAGGGGATCAAATACTTATTTCCCATAATTAAATGCAAATACATTTTTATCTTTTATATAATGTCAATTTATGGATTGTTTTTTTTATATTCTTACTCTCACTTTTAAAATAAACCTACCATTAAAGTTATAGATTGGTAATTTCTTGTGGGCAAATTTACAAAATCTGCAAGGGATCAAATACTTATTTCCTCCACTGTGTATATTCTTATCTACAGTAGTCCTGTAGTCATTCTGCAGAATCATCATCAGACAGACAGGAAGTAGATCCTCACCATGGCAACGGACCCGTCTCTCTCGTCCATCACAGCCTTCATCTCCTGGGCGATGATGTCAACTCTGCGTTGCCGTGCCGACCTCAGATGCTGCATCAGAACCGAGCCGAGCTGTTGGACCTGAACCGAGCTGGCACCAGACAGAGCCTGAAGCACCGCCTCCACATCCTACGCACACGCGCACGCACACGCACACGCACACGCACACACACACACACACACACACACACACGTCAGCACACTGGTAAACAGCTCAGTGATATTAAATATTTAAACATAAAGAGTGTTTACCATGTCAGCGTCCAGCGGGGGGGCGCCCTCCCACCTGCAGACACACACTGAGTTTAGAATAAACACACACACACTCAGTGATGAACACACACACACAGTTTAGAATAAACACACACACTCAGTGATGAACACACACACACAGTTTAGAATAAACACACACACTCAGTTAGTGATGAACACACGCACGCACACACACACACACACACACACACACACACACACACACACACACACACACACACACACACACACACACACACACACACACACACACACACACACACACACACACACACACACACCACACACACACACACACACACACACACACACACACACACACACACACACACAGTTTAGAATAACCACACACACTCAGTTAGTGATGAATGACACACACACAGGACCAGCCTCCAGAGGGGGGGATCATGTGGTCAGTAGTGATGGATGCGGTGTAGTCCCACTTCCTGTTGCTCTGAGGTGATGGGATGGTTTTACAGCATTTTCTGTTAATTGTTTAAAAGAAGTCAAGATTTTGAGAAAAAGTCACAGTTCTGTCATTAAGAGAAACAAGTGAACCAGAGCCCAGCTCAGTGGTGACTTAATGACAGTTGGCAAGTTAATGTAGCTGCCGATGCTATGCTAATAGCAATTAGAAGCAACATTTATGCAGCGATTTGGAGCTAGAGAAGCATCAGGTGAGTCAGCTGACCTCAGATCTGACAGCTTGTGTTCCTGTTGTTCCTGCAGCTGGATTAATAAGTGTCCGTATTAAAGCTCTGTAGCCGGGCAGTAATATGACCCACGCTCCCTGAAGGCCTCCTCACAGAGAGCTGTGACGGCGGCCATGATGGAGGTAACCAGCTGCTCCTCTGGGACTCCTTTCATTCCTTTCATTGAGCTGCTGCTGTTCTCTGTAATAACTGTAATAACTGTAATAAGTGTAATAAGGTGGCCGAGGCGGCGCTCTGCAGGGAACAGCAGGTAATGAAAGAGCAGCGGCTCAATAACGCTGCTAACACCCCGCTTACCATCACACACACATCCACACACACACACACACACACACACACACACATCTACACACAACCATCAAACTCACATCTCCACACATCAAACCCACAGCGATCAAACTCACATCTACACACACACAACACACACACACACACACACACACACATCTACACACAACCATCAAACTCACATCTCCACACATCAAACCCACAGCCATCAAACTCACATCTACACACACACACACACACACACACACACACACACATCTACACACAACCATCAAACTCACATCTCCACACATCAAACCCACAGCCATCAAACTCACATCTACACACACACACACACACAACACACACACACACATCTACACACAACCATCAAACTCACATCTCCACACATCAAACCCACAGCCATCAAACTCACATCTACACACACACACACACACACACATCTACACACAACCATCAAACTCACATCTCCACACATCAAACCCACAGCCATCAAACTCACATCTCCACACATCAAACGCACAGCCATCAAACCCACATCTCCACACATCAAACCCACAGCCATCAAACCCACAGCCATCAAACCCACATCTCCACACATCAAACCCACAGCCATCAAACTCACAGCCATCAAACCCACATCCATCAAACACACATCTCTACACATCAAACCCACAGCCATCAAACTCACATCTCCACACATCAAACCCACAGCCATCAAACTCACATCTCCACACATCAAACGCACAGCCATCAAACCCACAGCCATCAAACTCACAACTACACACATCAAACGCACAGCCATCAAACCCACATCTCCACACATCAAACCCACAGCCATCAAACCCACATCTCCACACATCAAACCCACAGCCATCAAACACACAGCCATCAAACACACATCTCCACACATCAAACCCACAGCCATCAAACACACATCTACACACATCAAACCCACTGCCATCAAACTCACATCTCCACACATCAAACCCACAGCCATTAAACCCACAGCCATCAAACACACATCTCCACACATCAAACCCACAGCCATCAAATCTACAGTTGTGGTCAAAAGTTTACATCCACTTGTAAAGAACATGCATTTATTTTGTATGTCTTTATTAGGGATGCTCCGATCAATCGGCTGCCGATCATTATCGGCCGATATTCACTCTTAATAGTTTGATCGGTGCTCTCTATAAAGGCCGATCAGGAGAGCCGATCAGATGACGTAAAATACATTAAACTTTTCTCTGTGCGCGGCAAAACAAGCTCGCCAAAATGGCCTCACCGGTCTGGCAGTTTTTTAAGGTGTCCGAAAAAGACAATAAAATAACGGTATGCAACGTGTGTGAATCAGAAAGAGAGAGAGAGATCAGAGACCATGATCAGCTGACGGAGAACACGCAGCTCTACCGGATCACCGCCGCAGCTCCACCCGCTGTGACGGACCGGTGAGCAAAACACACACTTCAAGTTAGAACTAACACACTTAGCTATTTGATCTACCTCTGGAACAAGCTAAACTAGTAATACATATGTTTATTCTTCACTGTCGGGTCACTCATTACTGGATAAGCGAGCTGCATGAGTCTGATACTGACGGGCTCTCAGGAGAGAGAGAGAGAGGGAGAGAGAGAGAGAGAGAGAGAGAGAGGAGAGAGAGAGAGAGAGAGAGAGAGAGGGAGAGAGAGAGAGGGAGAGAGAGGTTCCGTTTATTTCTCCGTTGTTATTATCCAAAGTTAATGTAAACTTTTGAATAATGTACTTCATCTACTATAAGTAGTGTGTTTGAATGTAATAATTATGTTGTTTGTTGTTTGTGGAAGCGAATCATTTATTGAAAAATGAATCTGAACTTTTCGATCTGTTACGATTATAAACTGAAGCAATATAAAAATGAGCCCCATTAACTGAGTTTTAAACATCAGCATATCCAGTCCGAGTCCGGTGATTACCTGCTAACGGAAACTCTGCTACACAATTCACAATACAACACTTTAAATGGAAGATCCCCATAGCCCCCACCCACCCTGTGATCGGATCGGCGATCGGTATCGGACGATTCTGATTCCGGTGATCGGCCCCAAAAACCCTGATCGGAGCATCCCTAGTCTTGACTTTTCAATAATTTCTACAACTAGATTGGAGCACATACTACTTTGTCACAAAATATAAATTAGGAAGTTTGGTTCTTTTATGAATTTATAATGGGTCTTCTGAAAATCTGCTGGGTCAAAAATATACATATAGCAACATGAATGATCAATGTTGGCGATGTAGAAAGTTCTGTCAATCAATTTAACTTTGTGACATGGCCTCTTAACTTCTTGTCAGTGATTATAATTGACTATAGCTGGTACCTCATTTAAATTTGGCTCATCTGATACAATCATTAGACTCAGCCACATCACTACAATGGGAAAGTCAAAGGAGCTCAGCATGGATCTGAAAAAGTCAGGAAAGTCACTTGGAGCCATTTCAAAGCAGCTAAAGGTCCCAAGATCAACTGTGCACACAATGTGTAGGTATAAAGTGCATGACACAGTTGCCACACTGCCATGATCAGGAAGAAAACGCAAGCTATCACCTGCTACTGAGAGACAATTGGTCAGGATGGTCAAGAGTCAAAGAAGAACCACCAAAAAGTAGGTCTGCAATGAATTAGGAGCTGCTGGAACGCAGGTGTGAGCGTCCACAGTCAGGCATGTTTTACATCACTATGGGCTGAGAGGAAGCCCTGGCTCCAGAACGGCCACATCGAGGCTCCACTGAAGGGCCACATCGAGGCTCCACTGAAGGGCCACATCGAGGCTCCACTGAAGGGCCACATTGAGGCTCCACTGAAGGGCCACATCGAGGCTCCACTGAAGGGCCACATTGAGGCTCCAGAAGGGCCACATTGAGGCTCCAGAAGGGCCACATCGAGGCTCCACTGAAGGGCCACATTGAGGCTCCACTGAAGGGCCACATCGAGGCTCCAGAAGGGCCACATTGAGGCTCCAGAAGGGCCACATTGAGGCTCCAGAAGGGCCACATCGAGGCTCCAGAAGGGCCACATAGAGGCTCCACTGAAGAGCCACATTGAGGCTCCAGAAGGGCCACATCGAGGCTCCACTGAAGGGCCACATTGAGGCTCCAGAAGGGCCATATCGAGGCTCCACTGAAGGGCCACATTGAGGCTCCACTGAAGGGCCACATTGAGGCTCCACTGAAGGGCCACATCGAGGCTCCAGAAGGGCCACATTGAGGCTCCACTGAAGGGCCACATTGAGGCTCCAGAAGGGCCACATCGAGGCTCCAGAAGGGCCACATTGAGGCTCCAGAAGGGCCACATCGAGGCTCCACTGAAGGGCCACATTGAGGCTCCAGAAGGGCCACATCGAGGCTCCACTGAAGGGCCACATTGAGGCTCCAGAAGGGCCACATCGAAGCTCCACTGAAGTCTGCTGCTGATCACATGGACGAATAAAAGCCCTTCTGGAGTAAAGTTCTGGGCTCAGATGAAACTAAAATGTATCTGTTTGGCCACAATGACCAGAAATATGCTTGGAGAAGGTGAGGCGTTTAACCCCAACATCACCATACCTACCGTCAAGCATGGTGCTGCTGCTATTATGAGCTGAGCATGTTCTGCTGCCAATGGAACTGGTGCTAACCTAAGTCAATGGAATAATGAAGAAAGAGAATTACCTCCAAATTCTTTAGGAGAACCTAAAATCATCAGCCAGAAGGTTGGGTCTTGGGTTCAGTTGGGTGCTCCAACAGAACAACGACCACAGACATGTACAGAACATGAACATGTGGACAGAGCTCAGTCCCACCCCTTCCTTATATAACAGGTGTGGCTCGCAATAAATCAAAGTTTTCCTCCGAATATTTAATTCGGTACTAATACATAAATGGAAAGAATATATTAAGATCTAAATTAATAAGAAAATAATACACTCATTGGCTCTAATGGCTCTAACACATGTGGACAGAGCTGAAGAACATGTGGACAGAGCTGAAGAACATGTGGACAGAGCTGAAGAACATGTGGACAGAGCTGAAGAACATGTGGACAGAGCTGAAGAACATGTGGACAGAGCTGAAGAACATGTGGACAGAGCTGAAGAACATGTGGACAGAGCTGAAGAACATGTGGACAGAGCTGAAGAACATGTGGACAGAGCTGAAGAAACAAGCCCATGCCAGAAAGCCAACTCATTCAGCTAAAATGCACCAATTCTGTGAAGAGCAGTGGTCAACAGAAGCTTGTGGATGGCAACCAAAAATGACTAATTGAGGTGAAAATGGCCAAGGGACATGTTACCAATTGTTATCAATACATACTGATATACAACAGAACATCAGCAGGGGAGGACTCTTTAAAGTAGACACACTACATACTGATATACACCTGAACATCAGCAGGAGAGGACTCTTTAAAGTAGAGACACTACATACTGATATACACCTGAACATCAGCAGGAGAGGACTCTTTAAAGTAGAGACACTACATACTGATATACACCTGAACATCAGCAGGAGAGGACTCTTTAAAGTAGAGACACTACATACTGATATACACCTGAACATCATCAGGAGAGGACTCTTTAAAGTAGAGACACTACATACTGATATACACCTGAACATCAGCAGGAGAGGACTCTTTAAAGTAGAGACACTACATACTGATATACACCTGAACATCAGCAAGAGAGTACTCTTTAAAGTAGAGACACTACATACTGATATACACCTGAACATCAGCAGGAGAGGACTCTTTAAATTAGAGACACTACATACTGATATACACCTGAACATCAGCAGGAGAGGACTCTTTAAAGTAGAGACACTACATACTGATATACACCTGAACATCAGCAGGAGAGGACTCTTTAAAGTAGAGACACTACATACTGATATACACCTGAACATCAGCAGGAGAGGACTCTTTAAAGTAGAGACACTACATACTGATATACACCTGAACATCAGCAGGAGAGGACTCTTTAAAGTAGAGACACTACATACTGATATACACCTGAACATCAGCAGGAGAGGACTCTTTAAAGTAGAGACACTACATACTGATATACACCTGAACATCAGCAGGAGAGGACTCTTTAAAGTAGAGACACTACATACTGATATACACCTGAACATCAGCAGGAGAGGACTCTTTAAAGTAGAGACACTACTGATATACACCTGATCATCACAGACTTTAACTCCATGATAACTATTTTAATAATGTGTGATGATCTGAATGTTGATTAGACTATTTAACTAATTATCAGACAGGTTAACTGATGAATGAAGATCACAGTCAAACCAACACTTCAGCGTTAATCACTAACACTTTCACACACACAATGATGCACGTTTACACAGGTAATACAGGCCGCCTCCTTCCATCACACACACACACACGAACACACACACACAAACACACACGAACACACACACACACACACACACGAACTCCTGACAGATGGAGCGTGCCTCTCCATTTCCTCTGCTCATAAAGTCGGGGTGGGGGGGGTAAATCTGTAATGAGATTTTCTGCAGTATCTGGAGCTCAGCGGAGGAGAGGCTCGTTACACAGATCTTAACGAGGCGGTGGGGGGGGGATATTTCCTCTCAGTTCCTGATGATGGGAAGGACACAGAAGTCTCTGATCCAGAAGTCTCTGATCCAGAAGTTTCTGATCCAGAAGTTTCTGATCCAGAACCAGCGGTCCAGAACCAGCAGGGCTGGTACCGGGCCGCTGGGCCGACAGAAAGACCACTTCCTCCACCCTGTCTCTGTGGAGCGGGTGCACCGTGTGTGTGTGTGTGTGTGTGTGTGTGTGTGTGTGTGTGTGTGTGTGTGTGTGTGTGTGTGTGTGTGTGTGTGTGTGTGTGTGTGTGTGTGTGTGTGTGTGTGTGTGAGAGTACTCAGTGTGCTGCAGTTGTTGTGCTCTCAGAAGAGCCTCGTCTCTCTCCTGATTGGCCAGCAGGATTCGTGACATCAGAGCCTGATCCCGGTCCTTCTGCGCCGACAGAACCTGCTGCAGCAGCTCTGTGTGAACATATATTAATATATATTATTATTATTATATATAAAATCTCCAGTGTAAACAAATAAATATAATTGTAGACCTGTTTGTTGTTTAATTTAATGTAACATTTATATAATGATTATATAAATGTATAACATAGATATAATATTGACTGTGTGTTTAAAGTACAATAAACTGAGATGTGAGACTCAAACAAACACACACACACAAACACCCACATATACTAACACACACACACACACACTTATACTCACCTATACACACACATGCAGGTCTAGAGGCCTCAGGGGGGCCACAGTTTATATTATCACAAACACAAAGTGAACATAAAGCAAATCCTCCTGTTCTGATAATCCTGAGGATTACACACACACACACACACACACACACACACACACACACACACACACACACACACACACACACACACACACACACACACACACACACACACACACACACACACACACACACACACACACACACACACACACACACACACACACACACACACACACACACACACACACAGTCACACCACACACACACAGAGTCACACAGAGTCACACCCCACACACACACACACACACACACACACACACACACACACACACACACAGAGTCACACCACACACAAACACACAGCTCAGTTAGATCAACAGAGCGTGTGTGTGTTGTCGCTGCTTAAACACACACACTGTTCTATTAAACCAACAGCTGCCTCGTTAACCGTCACCTCGTTACTGATATTTAATTACACTGTGTGTGTGTGTGTGTGTGTGTGTGTGTGTGTGTGTGTGTGTGTGTGTGTGTGTGTGTGTGTGTGTGTGTGTGTGTGTGTGTGTGTGTTGGTATTACAGTGTATATAAAAATATTCAAATATTGAAGAAGTGGTTGTCAGAGCAGATCACCTGCTGGTCTCTCCTCCCTCCTCTCCTCCCTCCTCTCCTCCCTCAGCTGTTCCTCCACCTCCCTCCTCTGCAGCTCCTTCTCCTTCTGGAGCAGCTCCTCCTGCAGCTGGAGCACAGGGGACACAGTGTATTAATACATCAGACACTGTGTATTAATACACATATATGAATTTGGGTTAGGGTTGTATACACAGCGTGTAAACAACATACACATCTGACTGTGCTGCAGCTCCTCCTGCAGCACAGTCAGATGTGTACGATGTTTACACGGTGTATTAATACACCGTGTAAACATCATACGCTGTGTATTAATGCACAGTGTAAACATCATACGCTGTGTATTAATACACAGTGTATGATATGATGGCCTGTAGAAGTTCCCCCCGACGCTGGGACCCTCCGGAGACCCTGTGTCCTCTCAGTGAGGACTTTATACATCAATCTCATCAATACTCAGTGTGTATTTGTACACCGAGTGTGTATATTTACCCTCTTGTTGACGTCTCTCAGAGCGTATATGTATATACAGTGTGTATTTCTACACAGAGTGTGTATATTTACCCTGTTGTTGACGTCTCTCAGAGCGTATATGTATATACAGTGTGTATTTCTACACAGAGTGTGTATATTTACCCTGTTGTTGACGTCTCTCAGAGCGTATATGTATATACAGTGTGTATTTCTACACAGAGTGTGTATATTTACCCTGTTGTTGACGTCTCTCATAGCGTATATGTATATACAGTGTGTATTTCTACACAGAGTGTGTATATTTACCCTGTTGTTGACGTCTCTCAGAGCGTATATGTATATACAGTGTGTATTTGTACAGAGTGTGTATATTTACCCTCTTGTTGACCTCTCTCAGAGCGTATATGTATATACAGTGTGTATTTGTACACAGAGTGTGTATATTTACCCTCTTGTTGACGTCTCTCAGAGTGTCGAGCTCCTTCAGGAGGAACGAGATGTTTTTGTCTCGATCTAAACTCTGGGCTCGACCGGAGGCTGTGATTGGTCCAAACACAACTTCCTGGTGAGACCTGGAGGGGTCCACAGGTTTCAATTAGCAGTAACAAGAACACAAAGTACACAAAGTATTTGTTGTCCTGAGGGAGATGAAAGGGAGTCTCCAATGAAGTCCATCAGGCTCCAGGTGAGTTAATTAATACATTAATTGATTCATTAATTAATGTAATTAAATATCTTCCTGTATCAGACTCAGGACCTGAAGGTGGATTCTGCAGCGGGAAGAGAGTCGTTCTGTGGAAGTGTGTGTGTGTGTGTGTGTGTGTGTGTGTGTGTGTGTGTGTGTGTGTGTGTGTGTGTGTGTGTGTGTGTGTGTGTGTGTGTGTGTGTGTGTGTGTGTGTGTGTGGGTCAGGTGTTTTACCCTCACATTATCACAGAGGTGATGAAGCTTTAATAAGCACTGCTGTAATTCTCTCATATTACGTTAAAGGTCAGGCAGTAATAACGCGGGTAAATAAGACACACTGTAAGTCTCTCTCTACACACACACATACACACTCACACACACACACACATACACACTCACACACACAAACACACACACACACACACTCCCACACACACTCACACACACACACTCTCAGATCTGATGAAACAGAAAAAAACATGAGTTTAATGAGGAATTTAATAAAACTCCTGAAAGTAGCGACCTGAAGACATCGGATCCAAGTCAGGAGATTATTATTATTATTATTATTATGAATTATTGTTCTAAATGTTTCTTTTTCTTTTTAATGACGTGAAGTGACGTGATGTATCTGTGATGTGATGTATCTGTGATGTGATGTATCTGTGATGTGATGTATCAGTGATGTGATGTATCAGTGATGTATCTGTGATGTATCTGTGATGTGTCTGTGATGTGATGTGACGTGCTGTGATGTGACGTGACGTAATGTATCTGTGACGTGATGTGATGTATCTGTGATGTGATGTGATGTGATGTGATGTGACGTATTGTATCTGTGATGTGATGTGATGTGATGTGACGTGACGTATTGTATCTGTGACGTGATGTGATGTATCTGTGATGTGATGTGACGTGACGTAATGTATCTGTGACGTGATGTATCTGTGATGTGATGTGATGTATCTGTGATGTGATGTATCTGTGATGTGATGTATCTGTGATGTGATGTATCTGTGATGTGATGTATCTGTGATGTGATGTGATGTATCTGTGATGTGATGTATCTGTGATGTGATGTAATGTGACGTGACGCATCTGTGATGTGACGTGATGTGATGTGATGTGACGTGACGTATCTGTGATGTGACGTAATGTATCTGTGACGTGATGTGATGTATCTGTGATGTGACGTATCTGTGATGTGATGTATCTGTGATGTGATGTGATGTATCTGTGATGTGATGTATCTGTGACGTGATGTATCTGTGATGTGATGTATCTGTGATGTGATGTGATGTATCTGTGATGTGATGTATCTGTGATGTGATGTATCGTATCTGTGATGTGATGTATCTGTGACGTGATGTATCTGTGACGTGATGTATCTGTGACGTGATGTATCTGTGATGTGATGTATCTGTGACGTGATGTATCTGTGATGTGATGTATCTGTGATGTGATGTGATGTATCTGTGATGTGATGTATCTGTGATGTGATGTAATGTGATGTGACGTGACGTATCTGTGATGTGATGTGACGTGATGTGATGTGATGTGACGTATCTGTGATGTGACGTGATGTGATGTGACGTGATGTGATGTAATGTGATGTGACGTGACGTATCTGTGATGTGATGTGATGTGATGTGAAGTGACGTATCTGTGATGTGATGTGAAGTGATGTGATGTGACGTGACGTGCTGTGATGTGACGTAATGTATCTGTGACGTGATGTGATGTGTCTGTGATGTGACGTAATGTATCTGTGACGTGATGTATTTGTGACGTGATGTGATGTATCTGTGACGTGATGCATCTGTGATGTGATGTATCTGTGATGTATCTGTGATGTGATGTATCTGTGATGTGATGTATCTGTGATGTGATGTAATGTGATGTGACGTGACGTATCTGTGATGTGATGTGACGTGATGTGATGTGACGTATCTGTGATGTGACGTGATGTGATGTGACGTGATGTATCTGTGACGTGATGTGATGTATCTGTGATGTGATGTGATGTGACGTGACGTAATGTATCTGTGACGTGATGTGATGTATCTGTGATGTGATGTGATGTATCTGTGACGTGATGTATCTGTGACGTGATGCGATGTATCTGTGACGTGATGCGATGTATCTGTGATGTGATGTATCTGTGATGTGATGTATCTGTGATGTGATGTATCTGTGATGTGATGTATCTGTGATGTGATGTGATGTATCTGTGATGTGATGTATCTGTGACGTGATGGGATGTATCTGTGATGTGATGTATCTGTGATGTGATGTATCTGTGATGTGATGTGATGTATCTGTGATGTGATGTATCTGTGATGTGATGTATCTGTGATGTGATGTGATGTATCTGGGATGTGATGTATCTGTGATGTGATGTATCTGTGATGTGATGTATCTGTGATGTGATGTATCTGTGATGTGATGTATCTGTGATGTGATGTATCTGTGATGTGATGTAATGTGATGTGACGTGACGCATCTGTGATGTGACGTGATGTGATGTGATGTGACGTATCTGTGATGTGACGTAATGTATCTGTGACGTGATGTGATGTGACGTATCTGTGATGTGACGTGATGTGATGTGATGTAATGTGATGTGATATATATTATATCTGTGATGTAATGTGATGTGATGTATCTGTGATGTGATGTAATGTGATGTGATGTAATGTGATGTGATGTAATGTATCTGTGTTGTGATGTATCTGTGATGTGATACGATGTATCTGTGTTGTGATGTATCTGTGATGTGATGTGATGTATCTGTGATGTGATGTATCTGTGATGTGACGTGATGTAATGTGATGTATCTGTAATGTGATGTATCTTCACCTGTCCTCGGGGCTCGGCAGGTGTCTCTGGAGGGATGGACCCCCGTCTCCACGACTCTCTGCCCGAGGAGAAGGGCCTCTGCTGGGGGAGACCAGATCCATCTGTCCCCCTGGAGAGAGAGACCTCCTGAGGGAGAGGGGTGAGAGAGGAGAGAGAGACCTCCTGATGGAGAGGGGTGAGACAGGAGAGACAGACCTCCTGAGGGAGAGGGGTGAGGGGGGGCAGGAAGACGGAGCTGAAGACAGACAGGGAGAGACAGACAGAGAGAGACAGGCAGGGAGAGACAGACAGACAGACAGACAGACAGACAGACAGACAGACAGACAGACAGACAGACAGACAGACAGACAAAGACAGACAGACAGACAGAGACAGACAGAGAGAGACAGACAGGTCAGTAAAAACGTCTGACAGACAGTCTGTAAAGCAGACCCTTATCCTGAACCCCCTCCATCCTGATCCCCCTCCATCCTGACCCCCTCCATCCTGGACCCCTCCATCCTGACACCCTCCATCCTGACACCCTCCATACCCCCCCCCTATATAAATACCAGGTATTGTTAATCTTATTATGCTAATGCACCCTGGGACATGTAGGCACTGAGGAGGAATGGATCTTACCTATAGGCCGTTCAGAGTCACTGGGCTGATGGGTGGAGTCTCTGGGCTGATGGGTGGAGTCACTGGGCTGATGGGTGGAGTCACTGGGCTGATGGGTGGAGTCTCTGGGCTGATGGGTGGAGTCTCTGGGCTGATGGGTGGAGTCTCTGGGCTGATGGGTGGAGTCACTGGGCTGATGGGTGGAGTCTCTGGGCTGATGGGTGGAGTCTCTGGGCTGATGGGTGGAGTCACTGGGCTGATGGGTGGAGTCACTGGGCTGATGGGTGGAGTCTCTGGGCTGATGGGTGGAGTCTCTGGGCTGATGGGTGGAGGGTGGCAGGCGCTGTCGCAGCTCCTCGTTTACTTCAGGATAAGCTAAAAAAATGTATAAAAACATCATATTATATAAACATATTATACTTTATATAAATGAGTAATTAAATAAATAAAGAAGGAGGTGCAGCATTACCTCTGTCTTTATTAATTATCAGTTCATCATTAGCGAGCAGTAATCCTGTTGTCACGGCGAGATTTAAAATACTTGCAGCTCATCAGCAGAGCAAACACCTCTTATACCTCGTTAAGGCCTCGTTAAGGAAACAATCAGAGCAGAGCTCCTCAGGTATGAATGAGACAGAAGTCACTTAAACGCTCGCTAAGTCAAAAGAAAACAAGAAAACACTCAGACAGAAGTGTGTGTGTGTGTGTGTGTGTGTGTGTGTGTGTGTGTGTGTGTGTGTGTGTGTGTGTGTGTGTGTGTGTGTGTGTGTGTGTGTGTGTGTGTGTGTGTGCTGTGGTTTTGTGATTGGATATATCAGGGATGCTCTTTTTGTCCCTAGTTATTTAATGTTCTCACAGACGGAGTTACATCTGGATATTCTGCAAGCCGGGTTCTGGTTTTGAAGAGTTCTAGTTCTGCAGGGTTCTGAAGGGATCTAGTGCTACAGGGTTCTGAAGGGTTCTAGTGCTACAGCCTTCTGAAGAGTTCTAGTGCTACAGGGTTCTGAAGGATTCTAGTGCTACAGGGTTCTGAAGAGTTCTAGTGCTACAGGGTTCTGAAGAGTTCTAGTGCTACAGGGTTCTGAAGGGTTCTAGTGCACAGACTACAGTACGGGTAAATATTCTCCAGAGTTCCTGATTTATTGAATCGTTTCGTCTTTGAAACTTTTCTCCCCCCCCCTTGTGGACTCCCCCCCCCCCCCCCCTTGTGGACTCAGAGCTAATTGAGTCGGCGGCTCTCTTATTATTCATTACAATTACAGATGCCTTAAATCCGTCTAAATGACCATTCATGCCTCGCCTGCTTTGAAGTCTCGTCAAAGAGAGGATCTGCACAACGCGCCGGATCCCCCCACCCCTCACCCCCCCCCCCCCCCAGCACCAGTCTAAACTAAAGTCCATTAATTTTTTAAGCTGTGTTTAAATCAGTGAGGCCGTCCAGCTGACTGCATGAATATTAATGCAGCGATGCCTGATTAAAGAGATTCTGCTCTGATCCCAGCACACACACTTACAGAGACACACACACACACACTTACAGAGACACACACACACCTACAGAGACACACACACACCTACAGACACACACACACCTACAGAGACACACACACACCTACAGACACACACACACCTACAGACACACACACACCTACAGAGACACACACACACCTACAGACACACACACACCTACAGAGACACACACACACCTACAGAGACACACACACACCTACAGACACACACACACACTTACAGAGACACACACACACACACACTTACAGAGACACACACACACACACCTACAGAGACACACACACACCTACAGAGACACACACACACACTTACAGAGACACACACACACACCTACAGAGACACACACACACCTACAGACACACACACACACTTACAGAGACACACACACACACTTACAGAGACACACACACACCTACAGAGACACACACACACCTACAGAGACACACACACACCTACAGAGACACACACAAACACTTACAGAGACACAGACACCTACACACACACACACACACTTACAGAGTCACACACACACCTACAGACACACACACACTCACAGAGATACACACACACACCTACAGAGACACACACACTCACAGAGTCACACACACACACACACTCACAGAGTCACACACACACCTACAGAGACACGCAACCAGCACACAAGTTTAGATGCAGATATTAAGCCGGAACACACTCACTCGTACATACACACATACAGTATTTGTATAACCGTGCACACACTGTCACACACACTGTCACACACACTGTCACACACACTGTCACACACAGTGTCACACACACTGTCCCACACAGTGTCACACACACTGTCACACACAGTGTCACACACACTGTCACACACACTGTCACACACACTGTCACACACAGTGTCACACACACTGTCACACAGTGTCACACACACTGTCACACACACTGTCACACACAGTGTCACACACACTGTCACACACACTGTCACACACACTGTCACACACAGTGTCACACACACTGTCCCACACAGTGTCACACACACTGTCACACACAGTGTCACACACACTGTCACACACACTGTCACACACACTGTCACACACAGTGTCACACACACTGTCACACAGTGTCACACACACTGTCACACACACTGTCACACACAGTGTCACACACACTGTCACACACACTGTCACACACAGTGTCACACACACTGTCACACACAGTGTCACACAGTGTCACACACAGTGTCACACACACTGTCACACACAGTGTCACACACAGTGTCACACACAGTGTCACACACACTGTCACACACAGTGTCACACACAGTGTCACACACAGTGTCACACACACTGTCACACACAGTGTCACACACAGTGTCACACACAGTGTCACACACACTGTCACACACACTGTCACACACAGTGTCACACACACTGACACACACTGTCACACACAGTGTCACACACACTGAATCTGCCTTTTCATCATTTTTGTAATTTCATTAAATAATCAGAATTTGTTTTGTAATTTATTCATAGATTAAGTTTTAAATAAAGTTTCATCTTCTGCTTTCCTTCATTATGTGTCATAATAAACTGAAAATATATGAATAAAACATATGTTTTATCCTGCATTCATTTATTTGAGTTGTTTGTGAGTAATTTTAATAATGGATTCATCTGCGGATCATTTTCTTCAAAGTGATAGGGTTGTCCGTTTTAATATCTTAAATATTCTTTACTCTGTTTTATATTTGTGGTGGAACACCAGAGTGTGTGTGGATACCTCACAATAAATCAGAGCCTGATTCAGACGGCTGCAAAAGACCAACACACACACACACTTACAGAGAGACACACACACACACACACTCAGTAGATTAATATAATGACAGAAGAAGACAAAGGCTGAGAGTGAATGAGGAGGAGACGCTCGTGTGAACTGTGTTTAATCTGCAGAGTGGGTGGTCCCACACACACACACTCTGTATTGTGAGATGAGGGTGGGCTGCAGACTGTTTGATCAGACTGAAGTAGCTGCTATTCATGTCTCTGTGCAGGAATGTGTGTGTGTGTGTGTGTGTGTGTGTGTGTGTGTGTGTGTGTGTGTGTGTGTGTGTGTGTGTGTGTGTGTGTGTGTGTGTGGGGCAGCTGCTCATTGATCACAGACAGGGCGCTCTGACCTCTGACCCTTTATTAAAACAAATTTTTCAAAAATCCTATTTTGGTGCTCTTATTTTGGTAGTCTTGTTCTGGTGCTCTTATTTTGGTAGTCTTGTTCTGGTGCTCTTATTTTGGTAGTCTTGTTTTGGTGCTCTTATTTTGGTGCTCTTATTTTGGTAGTCTTATTTTGGTGCTCTTATTTTGGTGCTCTTATTTTGGTAGTCTTATTTTGGTGCTCTTATTTTGGTAATCTTGTTCTGGTGCTCTTATTTTGGTAGTCTTGTTCTATAAGTTGTATTATCATTAAAATGTTTTATCATCATTAATAATATATGTTGTTATTATTATGAATGATACAAATATATATATAGTATATTTGTATCTGTTAGAGTATTTAAACTTTAAACATTTGACTGGTTTTATTTCTGTTAAATTCAGCCCTCAGAATATCACAGTTCTTCAGTAGAGCTGCACCGCCCCCTGCTGGCCGCTCTCTGCACACACACTCTGCACACACTGCACACACAATCTGCACATGCACACACTCTGCACACATACACACACAGACACTCTGCACACACACACTGCACACACTCTGAACACACACTGTTATACGACGTGTCTCATAGTATCGTTGTAATAATGAGCCGCAGTAGTACCTGAAGTATTAATAGTATTATTACCTGTGTACATGTCCACCAGAGAGTCCCTGAGCTCTGCACTGGGCGTCCATGATGGTGAGGTCACCTCAGTGCTGAGAGAACACACACACACACACACACACACACACACACACACACACACACACACACACACACACACACACACACACACACACACACACACACACACACACACACACACACACACACACACACACACACACACACACACACACACACACACACACACACACACACACCACACACTTTAATCTTTACCACAGTGTGACAGATTACCCAGCATGCCTCGCTGCAGAGCCTCCTGTTAATATTATATATATATAATATATATATATAAATATATATTATATATATATTATATATATTATATATGTATAAACAAACTCCTCAGCCCCCTGGACACCACCTCTCAGTCTACAAATGCAGATCTTTTCTCAAAAAATGTCAAAGCAAAATAGACAACATCTACAACAGCTTGACCACCACACCTGCCCCCCATTATCCTGCCAACCCCTGTCCCCCCTACCGACCTCTCTGATTACCTCACAGGGATGAAAACTGCCACCTGCACCCTGGATCCCATCCCCTCCAGCTTTGTCAAGGCCTGACTTCCTGCTCTCTCTTCACTCATCACTACAACAATCACCTCCTCCCTGTCCTCTGGCATCGTCCCACCATCCCTCAAAATAGCTGCTATCACCCCTATTCTGAAAAAACCCGGACTCAACCCTGACAACCCTAATAACTTCAGACCAATCTGGAACCTACCCTTTCTGTCCAAGCATCACCTCTCCACCAATAACCTCCTCACCCGTCTTGAAACCACCTTCAACATCACCGGCACTGCCCTCTCTTGGTTCACATCATACCTCTGACAGAAACCAGTTCATCTGCATCAATAACTGCAAAACCCCCAACGCTCCTCTCCCCCAAGGTTCAGTTCTCGGCCCCCTCCTCTTCATCCTCTACCTGCTTCCCCTTGGTCACTTAATCCACCGTCATGGACTTCAATTCCATTGCTTTGCCGACGACATCCAGCTCCTCCTCTCCACCAAGTCCATCTCCGCTGCTACCCACTCCATCCTGACAAACTGCATCACTGAAATCACATCAACTCAACTTCCTCAAACTCAACTGCGATAAATCAGAAATAATCATCATTTGACCTAAAAAGCTCACCACATCTTTCCATAACTTCACCCTCAACATAGACGGCTTCCCAGTTCCAACCTCCCCTCACATCCAGAACCTAGGCATCATATTTGACCAAACCCTCTCCTTCAACAAATACATCAAACAGATCACAGAGACAGCCTTCTTCCACCTCAAAAACATCGCCCGTCTACGTCCACCCCTCTCCCCCACTGCTGCAGAAACCCTCATCCACGCCTTCATCACCTCCCGTCTGGACTACAGCCTCCTCTATGGTTCACCAAAAAAATCCTCAACAAACTTCAATACATCCAGAACTCCGCCGCCCGTCTACTCACCCACACCCGAATCCGTGACCACATCACACCCGTCCTCATCAAGCTCCACTGGCTCCCCATCCCCCAGAGAATTCAGTACAAAATCCTCCTGATGATGTACAAAGCCCCCCATAACCTGCACCCCCGGACCAACCTCAAGTCCTGGGGCGGCAGAGCCTTCTCCGTTGCTGCACCCACCCTCTGGAACTCACTACCCCAATCCATCAGAGACTCTTCCTCCCCCACCGCATTCAAAACATCACTCAAAACCCACCTGTTCAACACTGCATTCAACCACTGACCCCCCCCCCCCCTATTTTCTGTTTTTGTTATCTGTTCTTGTATTTCTTTCTTTCTTTCTTTCTTTGTTTTTTTTATTCTGTCGAAGTGTCTTTGAGTTTCTAGAAAAGCGCTATACAAGTCTCATGTATTATTATTAATATTATATATATATATATATATGTATTATTAATATTATATATATATATATATTATATTAATAATACATATATATATATATATGTATTATTAATATTCATATCTTACGGTATATTGTTCTGTAGAGTTAATATCTTCCTTCGTGCTCGTTGCAGAGCCTCCTGAGCGTCGGCAGCTCTGCCGGACGCCATCAGCTCACCTGAGCACACCTGAGGGCTCCACGGCAACACACAAACTACACTGACAGCTGATTGGCAGCCAAGGTTAATCTTTAATGAGGGGTCAGGTGACTCAGGAGCAGCTGTCAGCCTCTCAGTGAGGTAGATATAATATATTCAAAACTCTGAGAAGAGTCCCAATTTTTTATTTTTTGAGATTTTTGACTTTTTGGGAGCATGAACTTGGACCATGAACTGGGATCACATGAGACCACCAGCAGTGACATCACAGGATGGAGCGAGGCCCTGATTGGCTGACGGCTCACTGGCTGGTTTCTGTAATAAAGCAGATGCAGTGACAGCTTGTTTTATTCTTTATTGATGATTTAAAGTATTTATTAAAACGTCTTCAGGTGTCCTCCTGTCCTCCCGTCCCCTGCTCGTCTCTCAGCAGGGAGTCCAGCAGCTGCAGGTCCACGCGGTGCTTCATCACGAAGCGTCCGTTCAGGTGGAAGACGGGAATATCCAGAGCGTAGCGCTGCCTCCAGACAGCGTTCTGAGGGAGGGAGATATCCACCTGCTGCAGGACAAACTGCACACACACATTTATCATTTTATATATCTATATTATATGATATATTATAACATCGGATGGAGACTCACTCTGTGTCTGAGAGGCTCCAGCTGCTCTTTAGCTTCGTCACACAGAGGACACGGATCCTGTGGAAACATCAACAAACGTCTTTATTATGGAAAATTGAAGACTGGAAAACTGATGTAATTTATAATATGTGGAAAAATAAATCAACAAACTTAAATCGTCTTTAAACTACAACACTTCCTCTTAACTTCAAACTTCAAATAAAAGCACTATATCTTGTAACTTAATGACGGTCTGTAGTGAACAGAGTTAGAGTGGGTAAAGAGAGAACAGTCTGGAGATACGAGGTTTCATTACCTTAGAGTACAGAGTTAGAGTGGGTAAAGAGAGAACAGTCTGGAGATACGAGGTTTCATTACCTTAGAGAACAGAGTGGGTAAAGAGAGAACAGTCTGGAGATACAAGGTTTCATTACCTTAGAGTACAGAGTTAGAGTGGGTAAAGAGAGAACAGTCTGGAGATACGAGGTTTCATTACCTTAGAGAACAGAGTGGGTAAAGAGAGAACAGTCTGGAGATACGAGGTTTCATTACCTTAGAGAACAGAGTGGGTAAAGAGAGAACAGTCTGGAGATACAAGGTTTCATTACCTTAGAGAACAGAGTGGATAAAGAGAGAACAATCTGGAGATACGAGGTTTCATTACCTTAGAGAACAGAGTGGGTAAAGAGAGAACAGTCTGGAGATACAAGGTTTCATTACCTTAGAGAACAGAGTGGATAAAGAGAGAACAGTCTGGAGATACGAGGTTTCATTACCTTAGAGAACAGAGTGGGTAAAGAGAGAACAGTCTGGAGATACAAGGTTTCATTACCTTAGTGAATAGAGTTAGAGTGGGTAAAGAGAGAACAGTCTGGAGATACAAGGTTTCATTACCTTAGTGAATAGAGTTAGAGTGGGTAAAGAGAGAACAGTCTGGAGATACGAGGTTTCATTACCTTAGAGAACAGAGTGGGTAAAGAGAGAACAGTCTGGAGATACAAGGTTTCATTACCTTAGAGAACAGAGTGGATAAAGAGAGAACAGTCTGGAGATACGAGGTTTCATTACCTTAGTGAACAGAGTCAGAGTGGGTAAAGAGGAAAAGAGTCTGGAGATACGAGGTTTCATTACCTTAGTGAACAGAGTCAGAGTGGGTAAAGAGGAAAAGAGTCTGGAGATACGAGGTTTCAGAGCGATGTGGCCCCTCAGCAGAAACATGATCTGAGGACAGAAACAGAAATTCACTGACCTGTCGACCAATCACAGAGCAGGGCGGAGTCCTCTGAGCGCAGCGACCAATCAAATGTGAGGAAATTCTCCAGCAGATTCAAGCAGTTTTTGAGATGTTTGAAGAGGCTTTCAAAGATTCACTTTTAAATTATGGATATGTTGTTGTTTACCCGGCTCAGAAGAGATAAATAACAACAATAAACAATAGACTACATCAATTAAAAACATTTTTAAGTAAATATATTTAAACCATGTTTACTCATAACCTCATAAACTCATTAAAAACATCACAGATAAACAGAAAAGCTATTGACGTTAGCTGTCAGCCTGTTGGCTGTTAGCTGTCAGCCTGTTGGCTGTTAGCTGTCAGCCTGTTGGCTGTTAGCTGTCAGCCTGTTAGCCTGTTGGCTGTTAGCTGTCAGCCTGTTAGCCGTTAGCCTGTTAGCTGTCAGCCTGTTGGCTGTTAGCTGTCAGCCTGTTAGCTCTCAGCCTGTTAGCTCTCAGCCTGTTAGCTGTAAACTGTCAGCCTGTTAGCTGTTAGCCTGTTGGCTGTTAGCTGTCAGCCTGTTAGCTCTCAGCCTGTTAGCTCTCAGCCTGTTAGCTGTAAACTGTCAGCCTGTTAGCTGTTAGCCTGTTGGCTGTTAGCTGTTAGCTCCCCCCCTGTCTGCCCTCTGAACTCACCCTCTCTCCCGGCTCCGCTTCTCTCTCCCTCCTCTCTCCCGGCTCCGCTTCTCCCTCCTCCCTCCTCTCTCTTCCCTCTTCCCTCCTCTCTCTTCTCTCTTCTCTCTTCTCTCTTCTCTCAGTTTCGGTCGGTTTGATGAAAGTTTGGAGCTAACAGATGAACTTATTTTTCTTCTTCTACTGCTGCTGCAGATTCCTCTTCTTCGGTGGTGTTACGGAATGTAGCGCTAGCGTCATGCTGTGGCTGGAGGAGGAACAGCGTCTCATTCTGATCAGTAATTATTAATCAAATAATAAAAACAGTAACTTAAAGCTCCCATGTCATGCTTTTCCGGTTATTACCCGTCCCCTTGTGTGTTATGAAGGTTTTTATGCATGTAAACGGTGTGCAGTGGAATTATGATCAGTTGAAATGGCCATGACATGGGACCTTTAAAGGGCCCATGTCATGGCCATTTCCACTGATCATAATTACATTGTTGAGGTATACTAAAATAGATTTATACTGTGCAATGTTCCAAACTCACATTGGTTTCTCATACAGCATCTCTGTATAGTATGTGTATTCACTCTCTGTCCTAAACGGCTTGTTGGAGCTCCTGCCCCCCCCCCCTCCCCCCTCCCTGTGAGCCCAGTGGCCGTCTGCGAGACACAGCGAAACCTAGCCCGAAACACACACACACCCGCAACCTGGCTGGGAGTTTGTGTGTGTGCCCAGGCTGAGTTCCGCGGTGTCTCGCCGACCCCACACCACTGAGCCAGCTCACAGTGTCCGCTCCTCGCAGCCACGAGCCTCGCAACGTCCCGCCGAGTGTGTGTGTGTGAGGAAGTCCGCGGATTGGTCCAAACGTAACGGCTCCGCAGACGTAACGTAACGGCTCCGCAGATTGGTCCATTTGGACCACGTCACCATACCCGAAATACGTCACTATACCCAAGAAGTAAACAATGGAAAAAGAGAAATGTCCAACGAGGCGTTCTGGGGCAGCATAGACACGTCTTCTCTGTGTTAGAGTTTTACTCGCTACAGGGTGTACTTTGAGGGTTTGTGACTCTGCAGACCGTTTACATGCAGAAGCTACAGAACAGAAGGGGACGGGTAAGAACCAGAAAAGCATGACATGGGACCTTTAAGATTAATTATAACAAAGAACTATAAAGTAATTACAGTCATATTATCCAGATAATAAATATAACTGTATTAAGTATCAAAGATGTAGGATATGTTCATTTAAATGACCTTCATTTTATTTTGTTAATGATACTAAAAACGGATTTTCTAAATAAAACAGATTTGTTTTGTTTACAATTTTAATTTCACACTTAAACATTTAAACTGTGCAAAGAATGAAATAACCAGAAGGAGCCTGAGCCACAGAGGAGCTCATACTGGGACCTCATACTGGGAATCATACTGGGACCTCATACTGGGAATCATACTGGGACCTCATACTGGGAATCATACTGGGACCTCATACTGGGACCTCATACTGGGACCTCATACTGGGAATCATACTGGGACCTCATACTGGGAATCATACTGGGACCTCATACTATCATACTGGGAATCATACTGGGAATCATACTGGGACCTCATACTATCATACTAGGACCTCATACTGGGAATCATACTGGGACCTCATACTGGGAATCATACTGGGACCTCATACTATCATACTAGGACCTCATACTGGGAATCATACTGGGACCTCATACTGGGACCTCATACTATCATACTGGGACCTCATACTGGAAATCATACTGGGACATCATACTATCATACTGGGACCTCATACTGGGAATCATACTGGGACCTCATACTATCATACTGGGACCTCACACTATCATACTGGGACCTCATACTGGGCCCTCATACTATCATACTGGGACCTCATACTATCATACTGGGACCTCATACTATCATACTAGGACCTCATACTGGGAATCATACTGGGACCTCATACTGGGACCTCATACTGGGAATCATACTGGGACCTCATACTGGGAATCATACTGGGACCTCATACTATCATACTGGGACCTCATACTGGGAATCATACTGGGAGCTCATACTGGGAGCTCATACTGGGACCTCATACTGGGACCTCATACTGGGACCTCATACTATCATACTGGGACCTCATATCATACTATCATACTGGGACCTCATACTATCATACTGGGACCTCGTACTGGGACCTCATAATGGGACCTCATACTGGGAGCTCATACTATCATACTGGGACCTCATACTATCATACTGGGACCTCGTACTGGGACCTCATACTGGGACCTCATACTGGGAGCTCATACTATCATACTGGGACCTCATACTATCATACTGGGACCTCATACTATCATACTGGGTCCTCATACTGGGACCTCATACTGGGACCTCATACTATCATACTGGGACCTCATACTGGGACCTCATACTATCATACTGGGACCTCATACTATCATACTGGGAGCTCATACTGGGACCTCATACTATCATACTGGGAGCTCATACTGGGAGCTCATACTGGGACCTCATACTATCATACTGGGAGCTCATACTGGGACCTCATACTATCATACTGGGAGCTCATACTGGGAGCTCATACTGGGAGCTGGTGGGTGTTCACAACACCAACAGAGAGCTGGTTTCCTGCCAGTGAACAGGAAGAGCCTCATCATCTTCACTGGTATCTTGTAATGGAAAAGTTTCTCTTCTGGTTTTCAGAGCTCCTCTGTGGCTGCAGAGGATTTCCCAGCATGCCTTGGTAAACAGGTAATAAACAGGAAGTAAAGCTTGATGCACGGCATCAGTAACGAGCAGCAACAACGTCCGGCGGCCATGTTGGCTCTGGTGATATCACCATGGTGATGTCATAGCAACACTGATCCATTCACACACACACACACACACACACAGACACACACACACACTTCTGTAGTCCATCAGCCAATCAGAATAAGACCTGTAGTCCATCAGCCAATCAGAATAAGACCCGCCTTCTGGTCTCTGTAAAGTCCTCCCTGATTGGCTGCTTCCTGTCCGGCTCTTCTTCTTCCCTTCTGTCGGCGACGAGCCTGCTCCATCAGCTTTGATCCTTCCCATGATCCTTTGCTCTACTGGGTGAACAGGTCAGCTGATCTCAGACCAGCAAGGTCACATGGTCACGGGTCAGGGAGGTCAGAGGTATCCACGGTAACCTGCGTCCACCAATCAACAAAGGCTTTCATTAGAGACAGAGCATGGTGTCGCCCCCTGCAGGACCAACAGATCCGGGTGTGTTTGTCTCACCTTGATGAAGATGCTGTCTGTTTGTCTCACCTTGATGAAGATGCTGTCTGTTTGTCTCACCTTGATGAAGATGCTGTCTGTTTGTCTCACCTTGATGAAGATGCTGTCTCACCTTGATGAAGATGCTGTCTGTTTGTCTCACCTTGATGAAGATGCTGTCTCACCTTGATGAAGATGCTGTCTGTTTGTCTCACCTTGATGAAGATGCTGTCTCACCTTGAGGAAGATGCTGTCTGTTTGTCTCACCTTGATGAAGATGGTGTCTGTTTGTCTCACCTTGATGAAGATGGTGTCGTCTTTGATGTAGCTGCCTGTCTCCAGGACGCTCTGAGACACAAACAGAGGACATCCGGACGCAATGTTCATCTCTGCTGTCGGACGCCTGAAGCTGCTGCTGTTGGGGTCCGGCTTAAAGGCATCGCCCAGGTGCTTCCTGGCTGGACCCTGGTCCATCAGCATCAGGGTCACCTGCAGACAGACAGGTGAGAGACAGACAGGGTCAGTAGAGGGTCAGTTGTCAGTAGAGGGTCAGCAGAGGGTCAGTTGAGTGTCAGTTGTCAGTAGAGGGTCAGTAGATGGTCAGCAGAGGGTCAGCAGAGGGTCAGTAGAGGGTCAGCAGAGCAGCAACTAAAAATTAAATCTGATGACAGGCCGATGCCCAAACTGGAGCTGTGTACAGCGAGGAAAAAAGGAGCGAATCGGACGTAAAACGTTAAAGGTCTCCTGATTTAGTTTGTGAATGAATGCTTATTACAGTTTCGGCTGGAGAGTGCGTGCGGACCTGTCGGTTAGATCAGGGGTTCCCAACCCCCGGTGTTACTGCCGGGCAGCGAAATAGCTGTGAGTTTATCGTAATATTTGCAGAATTATAAATATATAAAAATATTTTATCATAATATTTTTTTCAAAAAGTGTTTAATTTTCGCACCTATGCCACCAGTCATATTATTTAATCCAGTAGCTAGTTAATCTTTCACCAGAAAACCGTTGAAAATGGCTTTTATGATGTTCCGAGGGATTTGGCGGCTCAGCCTAAGGTCTCAGCCTCTTGTGCGCACGAGAATGTTACCGGTGCGTCAAGTAGGAAGAGGAGCGCACAGGAGACAACCGTTTGATTGCAGACTGTTATTTTTATGGGTGGGGAAATGGTGGTGCATACATTATTTGAGATATATTTCAAACTCGGACTTCATTTTAAGGACATGTCGGCCAGGGGTGTAGAGCTATTTGTTTAAGCACCGGATTGGCAAAACAGGAGAGTAAACCAGTCTGCCTTGATCTATGAATTCATGTCCGGGACTCTCACGGTATCTGCTGCCCGCAGCTGTTTTATAGAAGGAAACCCTCCTTCACTTCATGAAATGGCTGCAGCATCAGGAGGCAGCGGGACGTATACTCCGCCTCTGAGAAGTGCAGCACCATCGCGTAAAGAGCTGTGCCTTTTTACGCACCGCATTCGCTGTGTTTAACTTCATCAGAACAGCTTAAGAGTGACTGCAGGCTGCTACGTGTTAACCACACACACCTCTACACACATCTCTACACACATCGAACTGCCCGATTACTCCCCCTTTTATTAGTTTTATGAAGGAGATGTCCAGTCAGTCACCAAGGCGCATGATGTGTGTGTGTATGTGCTCTGCTCAGCTCAGCTCTGTGTGTTCGGTGTGTTTGTGTCTGTCCGACACCGGCATTTGTTTTCAAATGTTTATGAACAGTAATTTACACACATATGGCTAACTCCATATATGCAGCTGTTCCCAAAATAAATGTGTTTAATCTTAATCTCGATGTAGTGCTAAATGCTGTCGGAGTGCACCGGAACGAACGACACTATCATAATATCTTCTGAAAACAAATGCCAGTGGCAGGCACGCGCACACGCACGCACACACGCACGCACGCACGCACGGGTCAGCAGAGGGTCAGTAGAGGTTCAGCAGAGGGTCAGTAGAGGGTCAGTAGAGGGTCAGTAGAGGGTCAGCAGAGGGTCAGTTGTCAGTACCTTCTGCTTGAAGGGCCAGGGCAGCAGAGCGTCGTACTCGCCCCTCATCACCACAAAGAACAGCGACAGGTGCGTCCCCTTCCCCATGCCGTCCCCGTTCAGGTACACTCGGGCGCACATCTTGTACCCGAAGTACCCGGTGTAGAATGGCTGCGAGTACAGAGACAGCGTCTTCGCTGCCACCGCTTCCTGTTTCCGTCTCTTGTAGTCGCGGATCTTCCAGATCAGAGTCCCGTTATAACTGGCCGTCTCCAGAACCTGGAACCGGAGATCCATGTCAGCCAACCGGACGTCGTGAACGCTCAGCATGTCGTCATGGCGATTCAGCTGTGTCTCCAGGGACGCTGCACAGAGGAGGACATTAATTATGTAAACATATAGTAGCTTAGACTCAAGTCTTCTACAACTAGTGCCCAGACTTTTGGAACTAGTGCCTAGACCTTTGGAACTAGTGCCCAGACTTTTGGAACTCGTGCCTAGACCTTTGGAACTAGTGCCCAGACCTTTGGAACTAGTGCCTAGACCTTTGGAACTAGTGCCTAGACCTTTTGAACTAGTGCCCAGACCTTTGGAACTAGTGCCTAGACTTTTGGAACTAGTGCCCAGACCTTTGGAACTAGTGCCCAGACTTTTGGATCTAGTGCCCAGACCTTTGGAACTAGTACCTTTGGAACTAGTGCCTAGACCTTTGGAACTGGTGCCAAGACCTTTGGTACTAGTGCCCAGACTTTTGGAACTAATGCCCAGACTTTTGGAACTAATGCCCAGACCTTTGGAACTAGTGCCCAGACAAATAGGGTTGTCAAGTTAACGCGTTAATAACGCAAAAAAAAATTAACGCCATTCATTATTTTAACGCCATTAACGCATGTGTATTTTTTGTCCTCGGCCGCCCCGTAGTTTCAGAGCGCATCGAGTTTAAAATACCATCTACAAGCTGATGCTGACAGCCCCGCTCCTGCCGCACGCTTGTGGCAGACCACACTTCCACGCTACCGGCAGGCCCGGACTGGCCATCGGGAGGACCGGGAGGGTGTGTGTATGTGTGGCGCGAGCGAGGCACACCTTACGTGTTGTTGTTGTTGTTAGCATCTGGTGCTAGCTAGCTGCGCTAACGGATATAAGTAGCTGTTTCAATGAAAACAGAGGAGCGACATTTCGCCGACAACTGCGCCGAGCACTTGACTTTATGCAGGTAGCCACACTCAGCACGGATAGTGCGCGCAACATGAATGCAGCGTCCAGGCAGCTCCCGTTCGAGCATATATGCCTTGAGCTGCACATAGCTCCAACGATCCATCACAGTGTCCACACACACACACACACACACACACACACACACACACACACACACACACACACACACACACACACACACACACACACACACACACACACACACACACACCACACACACACACACACACACACACACACACACACACACACACACACACACACACACACACACACACACACACACACACACACACACACACACACCACACACACACACACACACACACACACACACACACACACACACACACACACACACACACACACACACACACACACACACACACACACACACACACACACACACACAGTATTATTGTATGAGAGAGGTTCCAGGTTGAATTGAGGCGAATATTTGTAATGTTCAGAGGTTGTTGTTTAATATTCATGAGAATATTTGTCATTGTTCAAATGATATTAAACAAACATATAAAGCATATTTGTCCACTCATATGTTGATAAGAGTATCCCTCTAAGGTACATTTAGAACAGATAAAAAATGTGCGATTAATCGTGATTAACTATGGACAATCATGCGATTAATCGCGATTAAATATTTTAATCGACTGACAGCCCTAAAAAAAACATGTTCCCTTCTCCTATCATTCGGTATTCATGTTTTTTCTAATGATATGGATTAATAGTCCTGAGCATACAGTCCCCAGAGTGGGTGTTCTCACCCAGAGTGTGTGTTGTGACCCAGTGTGTGTGTTCTCACCCAGAGTGTGTGTTGTCACCCAGTGTGTGTGTTCTCACCCAGAGTGTGTGTTCTCACCCAGTGTGTGTGTGTTCTCACCCAGTGTGTGTGTGTTCTCACCCAGTGTGTGTGTGTTCTCACCCATAGTGTGTGTTCTCACCCAGAGTGTGTGTTCTCACCCAGAGTGTGTGTTGTGGATCCAGTCCCGCTGCGTCCTCCTTGTTCTAGAGCGTTCAGTCTCGTCCGGACGTTCTCCAGGGTTCCTCTGATGTTCTCCACTTCCTCTCTGAGAACCCGAAAAGAACGCAGCTCCAGCTCCACCTCCAGAAGCTTCTCTGAGTGAGAACTCATCAGTTTCTAAAGGAGGAGAGAGTGTGAGAACCAACAGACAGGAAGTGATGATGATGGTCCACACCCAGTCTTTGATTCCCATTACAGCGGTCATTTTAAATCAGATAAAAATATATGACTAAGAGTGACCTGCATGGTGGCCAGCTTCTGCTCCATCTGCCGGTTCTTCTCTCGCAGCTCGTCCTGCTGGTTCTCCAGCTCCGACAGCCGACTGCTGAGAGCAGGAAGCACCTTGTACCTCTCCAGCAGATCCCCTTTAATGTCCTCCACCTGGAGACAGAATAGCGGTCAGGTAAACTCAGTCTCTCTGATGTGGGTTCCTCAGACCTCGGGATAAAGGTACCTTGTTCTCTAACGCCGAGTTCCTGCTGGCCATCATCCTCAGGTGTTCGGCTGCAGAGCTGGACTCGTGCTGCCTCAGGTCCTGGTTCAAACCCTGAAACACGGGGAACACATTAACTCTGCAGGGGTCTACCCTGAAACACGGGGAACACAGGGTTCCACCCTGAAACACAGGGAACACATTAACTATGCAGTGTTCTACCCTGAAACACAGAGTACACATTAACACTGCAGTGTGTGTGGTTCTGGGTTACAGTGAGGTGTGTGGTTCTGGGTTACAGTGAGGTGTGTGGTTCTGGGTTACAGTGAGGTGTGTGGTTCTGGGTTACAGTGAGGTGTGTGGTTCTGGGTTACAGTGAGGTGTGTGGTTCTGGGTTACAGTGAGGTGTGTGGTTCTGGGTTACAGTGAGGTGTGTGGTTCTGGGTTACAGTGAGGTGTGTGGTTCTGGGTTACATTGAGGTGTGTGGTTCTGGGTTACAGAACCTCTGGAGGCGGGTCAGTTACCTTGAAGCTGCAGCCGTAACGCAGGAACTGACAGCTGACCTGAGCTTTGGGACAGTCGTGCTGGTGACTGGACAGCTGAACACAAAAAACATCAATCAGAACTTTCAAAACCATCATCAGAACCATCATCAGAACCTTCAGTACCATCATTCAGTAACATCATCCAGAACCATCATCAGAACCTTCAGTGCCATCATTCAGAACGATCAGTACCATCATTCAGAACCATCAATCAGAACCATCAGCAGTAAAACAGAGCCTCAGTACTGATGGAGGAGAACCGGGTCAGTACCTCGCTGCGGGGCAGGGCGGATAACGAGCAGAGGTTCGGACACGGAACCAGGAACGCCGGACACACCGTCTCCTTGTGTTTCTGCAGACAGGACGTTTATTATCACCATCAGAACCAGACGGCTCCGTCAGACAGACAGGTTAGTGACAGACAGATTACAGACAGACAGGTGTCAAACAGACAGGTGACAGACAGACAGGTGACAGACAGGTTACAGACAGACAGGTGACAGACAGACAGGTGACAGACAGACGGGTGACAGACAGGTGACAGACAGACAGACAGACAGACAGACAGACAGACAGACAGGTGACAGACAGACAGGTACCTGCAGCTCCGTCAGAGGCATCTTGCTGCTGCAGAACTCACAGCTGGTCTCTCTGTGTTTACACTTCCAGCTCAGGTGGTCGGGGATCTCCTTCCTCATCATCCTCTCCTTACACTGGCCCAGAGGACAGGGAACCTCGAAGAACAGACACACCGTCAGGTGCTCCTGAGAGGGAGACAGGTAGAGAAAGGTGAGAGACAGGTAGGGAGACAGGTGAGAGACAGGTAGGGAGACAGGTGAAAAATCTGCTGTGGTGTCTGGAGGTGTGAACACAAACAATCTGTTGTCCCTTTTCCACCGAACCGGTTCTTAGCTGACCCCACTCGGATGCCCGGCAAGAACCAAGAACCAAGAACCAAGAACCAAGAACCAATACTTCACTCTACGGAGGGGGCGAGATTAACCTGAGATATAACAGTTAATGGGGAGTACGGCAAATACAAGTTATAACAAGCAGTAGCGCTGAGCAAAGTGACTAGAAGGCAACCACACACTTTTTAAAGTCAGGCAACACTAACCAGGCTTCGTGTGATTCTGTTTATTTGTACCTTACTTTGACCATCCGTTCGCTGTTATTGATCATTGTGGAGAGCAGGCAGACGTTTTGTTTGTTATTATAGCAGCTATCGGATGGAATCAATATGGGCTGCACAGGTTGTCATGTCCGACTATCACAAGTAGAATCATAATGAAAAATACGCCGGTAAATTTTGCCTGTAGAAAACGGCTTATGCCACAATAGGATAGCAACAAGTAGTCAATTTAGTCAGTTTAGCTTCGGTTGCTATGCTAACATCACCCATGTTATACCAGAGAAACTTTCATAACAGCGTTGTGATGCCAAACAGCGTCAATTCATACTGACACACATTCACTTGGGGAATTGGGGATATGTATCAGCTGCTTGTGTGACAGTCAGACAGTGAAGAATTTACAGCGGCCGCTGCCGTGTGAGTTAACGGGAGAATAAACTCCGGTGGACGAGCGGCACTGCAGCGGTCGGTAAATGCCGCTGAACCACATTAATAAACAATGAACCACAGCACTCTGGAGAACCCAGGGGAGAAGGACCAGGAGTGTTCCAGAGTTCTATATAATGTTCTCACAGGGATGTGCTGCAGGCTCAGCTGCTCCGGGCAGCCGCTGGCTTCACTGCGACAGAACACCTTCAGCGCCATGATCTCCCGATGGCAGCAAACGTCTCTGAAGATCTGAGACAAACAGAGCGTCAGAAACTGAACCATTAATGACCTTAACTCTTAATAAATAAAGAATAATTCATAATAAATACATAATAAATACATAATAAATAATTAATTTATAATAATTAATAAAAAGAAAGAATAATTCATAATAAATAAAGAATATAGAATATAGAAGTGCTCACCTTGTCTTTGTACAGCGGCTCTCTGTCTGCTGGACATGATGGGTTAGGGTGACTGCAGAGAACACAGAGTTACTGAAGACCCTGAACACACCTTTCATTATAATAATAAACAAATGCATAACAAAACAATAAAAAGTAATAATGAAATAATAATAATAATAATAATAATAATAATAATAATAATAATAATAGTATTTATAATAACGTTTTATGACTCCCAGTACCTGAGCAGGTCGCTGATGCAGCTCTGGCAGAACCAATAATGATAATAAAGATAATAATAATATATATATAATATTTAGTACCTCAGTGGCCTGTACTCTGAATCCAGTTCAACAAATCAAATCAAGTTTTATTTATATAGCACATTTTTAAAACGATTTTTGGTCGAGCCAAAGTGCTGTACATATAATAATTACCTTACAATAAGGACACTTTACAGCAAATACAACAGCACAGTTTGTGCAGAATATCAGTATGAGAAAACGACACCCTCTGTCCTTTAGACCCTCACATCGTACAAGGAAAAACTTCCGGAGAAAAAACCCACAGACCCTGGATATCTCCGAGTTATCTTAACTAACCCTAACAAAGAGATCTCGCTAAGCGGTCCTACGACGCTGGTTATCAACTCGGTAACTCAAGCCAGGGTTTCTCTGTCCGGCTGAGAGCGCGTTCACATGAAAGGGGCGGGGCTAGCAACATTTGACCAATCACAAACATGGAGAAGCGTACTGACAGCGCAGCGTCATACTTCCTGAATGAAAAGTCAACTATAATATTAGACAATATGAAGAAGTTAAACTTTAAACATCCATGACTTAAACACTTTATCCAGGATAAAAGCCACATAGCTGCACCTGCAAGGTGAATACAGCTGGTAAAAGAAAAAGCGTTTGAATGCGTACATTAACAGGTTTATGATATCACTGCCCCGTCCAAGACACGATCTGACTTTAATTACATTTGACTCGAGTCTTTCGTCAACTTAATGTGTTTTGCATGTGACACGTCAGCGTCTTCCCTGCATACGGCAGTTTAAACTGTATTTCCTTTATCCTGTAATATGACTTGATAGCTTTAAACTCCACACGCTGAGCTCTGATTGGTCAGCAGGCAGTGCTTTCACTGAGTTGATCTCTTATCTGGAACCTGCTCCGGAGCAGGTTAGGTGTTCAGCATCAGTTACCATCGAGATCTACCCCGGTAAGAAGAGAACCAGAGTCGTAGGACCAGAAACCCAGAGTTAACCCTGAAGTTACCTCTCTAACCCAGAGTTAACCCTGAAGTTACCTCTCTAACCCAGAGTTAACCTGAAGTTACCTCTCTAACCCAGAGTTAACCCTGAAGTTACCTCTCTAACCCAGAGTTAACCTGAAGTTACCTCTCTAACCCAGAGTTAACCTGAAGTTACCTCTCTAACCCAGAGTTAACCTGAAGTTACCTCTCTAACCCAGAGTTAACCCTGAAGTTACCTCTCTAACCCAGAGTTAACCTGAAGTTACCTCTCTAACCCAGAGTTAACCTGAAGTTACCTCTCTAACTCAGAGTTAACCCTGAAGTTACCTCTCTAACCCAGAGTTAACCTGAAGTTACCTCTCTAACCCAGAGTTAACCCTGAAGTTACCTCTCTAACCCAGAGTTAACCTGAAGTTACCTCTCTAACCCAGAGTTAACCTGAAGTTACCTCTCTAACCCAGAGTTAACCCTGAAGTTACCTCTCTAACCCAGAGTTAACCTGAAGTTACCTCTCTAACCCAGAGTTAACCCTGAAGTTACCTCTCTAACCCAGAGTTAACCTGAAGTTACCTCTCTAACCCAGAGTTAACCCTGAAGTTACCTCTCTAACCCAGAGTTAACCTGAAGTTACCTCTCTAACTCAGAGTTAACCCTGAAGTTACCTCTCTAACCCAGAGTTAACCTGAAGTTACCTCTCTAACCCAGAGTTAACCCTGAAGTTACCTCTCTAACCCAGAGTTAACCTGAAGTTACCTCTCTAACCCAGAGTTAACCTGAAGTTACCTCTCTAACCCAGAGTTAACCCTGAAGTTACCTCTCTAACCCAGAGTTAACCTGAAGTTACCTCTCTAACCAGAGTTAACCTGAAGTTTACCTCTCTAACCCAGAGTTAACCCTGAAGTTACCATCTCTAACCCAGAGTTAACCTGAAGTTACCTCTCTAACCCAGAGTTAACCCTGAAGTTACCTCTCTAACCCAGAGTTAACCTGAAGTTACCTCTCTAACCCAGAGTTAACCCTGAAGTTACCTCTCTAACCCAGAGTTAACCTGAAGTTACCTCTCTAACCCAGAGTTAACCTGAAGTTACCTCTCTAACTCAGAGTTAACCTGAAGTTACCTCTCTAACTCAGAGTTAACCTGAAGTTACCTCTCTAACTCAGAGTTAACCTGAAGTTACCTCTCTAACCCAGAGTTAACCTGAAGTTACCTCTCTAACCCAGAGTTAACCTGAAGTTACCTCTCTAACCCAGAGTTAACACTGAAGTTACCTCTCTAACCCAGAGTTAACCTGAAGTTACCTCTCTAACCCAGAGTTAACCTGAAGTTACCTCTCTAACCCAGAGTTAACCCTGAAGTTACCTCTCTAAACCCAGAGTTAACCTGAAGTTACCTCTCTAACCCAGAGTTAACCCTGAAGTTACCTCTCTAACCCAGAGTTAACCTGAAGTTACCTCTCTAACCCAGAGTTAACCCTGAAGTTACCTCTCTAACCCAGAGTTAACCTGAAGTTACCTCTCTAACCCAGAGTTAACCTGAAGTTACCTCTCTAACCCAGAGTTAACCTGAAGTTACCTCTCTAACCCAGAGTTAACCCTGAAGTTACCTCTCTAACCCAGAGTTAACCTGAAGTTACCTCTCTAACCCAGAGTTAACCCTGAAGTTACCTCTCTAACCCAGAGTTAACCTGAAGTTACCTCTCTAACCCAGAGTTAACCTGAAGTTACCTCTCTAACCCAGAGTTAACCTGAAGTTACCTCTCTAACCCAGAGTTAACCCTGAAGTTACCTCTCTAACCCAGAGTTAACCTGAAGTTACCCTCTCTAACCCAGAGTTAACCCTGAAGTTACCATCTCTAACCCAGAGTTAACCTGAAGTTACCTCTCTAACCCAGAGTTAACCTGAAGTTACCTCTCTAACCCAGAGTTAACCTGAAGTTACCTCTCTAACCCAGAGTTAACCTGAAGTTACCTCTCTAACTCAGAGTTAACCTGAAGTTACCTCTCTAACCCAGAGTTAACCTGAAGTTACCTCTCTAACCCAGAGTTAACCTGAAGTTACCTCTCTAACCCAGAGTTAACCTGAAGTTACCTCTCTAACCCAGAGTTAACCTGAAGTTACCTCTCTAACCCAGAGTTAACCTGAAGTTACCTCTCTAACCCAGAGTTAACACTGAAGTTACCTCTCTAACCCAGAGTTAACCTGAAGTTACCTCTCTAACCCAGAGTTAACCTGAAGTTACCCTCTCTAACCCAGAGTTAACCCTGAAGTTACCTCTCTAACCCAGAGTTAACCCTGAAGTTACCTCTCTAACCCAGAGTTAACCCTGAAGTTACCTCTCTAACCCAGAGTTAACCCTGAAGTTACCTCTCTAACCCAGAGTTAACCTGAAGTTACCTCTCTAACCCAGAGTTAACCTGAAGTTACCTCTCTAACCCAGAGTTAACCTGAAGTTACCTCTCTAACCCAGAGTTAACCCTGAAGTTACCTCTCTAACCCAGAGTTAACCTGAAGTTACCTCTCTAACCCAGAGTTAACCCTGAAGTTACCTCTCTAACCCAGAGTTAACCCTGAAGAATATTTAGTACCTCAGGAGGTCACTGATGCAGCTCTGGCAGAACCGATGTCCGCACTCTGTCTGCCTCGGCTGGCACAGAACCAGCCTGCACGCCTCGCAGCAGTATTTGGGTTCTGGCGGTTCCACAAAGTGGTCCCTGAACCCCCCGTGGAGCGGGAGGAACCCTGCAGGAGAACCTGAACACAGAGGGAGGGGGGCGTTAATACAGAGGGGGGGGCGTTAACACCTTAATTGAATCACATCCGGCTGATATCACAGCGCAGTTTACCTTGAGAGGAGGCGGGGTCGCTCGGAGGCCAGGGATTGGCCTGCCGGTTAGGGGGCGGGACCACAGAGAGGGGCGTGGTCAGGGAGGGCGCCACCTGCTGGAGGGGAAGCTGCACCTCCCGCCCCCCCGACATGACCTGAGAGACATATCAATCACCTTTGACCTCAAGAACAATAATAATAATAACAATAATAATACATGTTATTTATATAGCGCTTTTCCTGGTGCTCAGAGTGCTTTATAAAGAATAACATCTGGGGCTCAAAAGGACTGAGGCAGATAAGAAATAGAGCTTTATCTCAGAACAGCTGATCACTGTTTCCGCTGAACTGAAAGTGAATGCAGCCTCTGTGGTGCGTTCAAGGACCTCTCTGTGGTGCGTTCAGGGACCTCTCTGTGGTGCGTTCAGAGACCTCTCTGTGGTGCGTTCAGGGACCTCTCTGGTCCCTGAAAATATTGACTTTATTTGTTTGTAATTATAATAATGATAAACAACAATACGTCAGAATGTATTGATGTATTGAATAAGCATCTGAAACCCTGAGGAGAGTTAGTCATATGAAGCTTTAAACAGGGCGGATCACTCCTACCAGACAACACTCATTTTAATATTAATATCAATATAAATATTAAAATATGAGTGACCTGTGGAGATTGATCTGGGCTTGATTTCTCAGGTCTGACTGATTATCGATCTCTAATGTAAACACTGATGCTAACTGTTAGCTTATTTAGCTTCTTGTTTCTCTGCTTTATGTTCAATAAACATCATTTAGTTCACACACATTATACAGTCTATACTTCATGTCAATATTGATGTATTTTAATGTTAGAATCATTTTTATTCAAATGTTTTTTAGAACGGTTTTATGTTTGAGTTATTTCTCTATTTATCTTCTGTTTTGCACCAAATACACCAAGGATAGACCAGCTGGGCTATAACCCCGGTTCTGGTCCTGGTCCTGACACACAGTAGCCTCTGTGGAGCTAACGCTGAGCTAACAGGTCTGAGGTTCTGAGGGGTCTGAGGTTCTGAGGGTTCTGAGGGGTCTGAGGGTTCTGACTCACATGAAGCTCCTCCGCTCGGCTCTCTGTCCCCGGGATTCAGACCGTCTCCCCGCCGCGGAGCCTCCGGGCCGGGGGCGGGCTCCTCATGGTCCTGGTTCTGCTGTCCGGGTCCTGGTTCTGCTGTCCGGGTCCTGGTTCTGTTTGTCCGGGTTCAGTCGCTGCTCCTCAGCCTGAGAGATCCAGCAGCTCTGATCACTGGAAACCCCCTCTGCTGCTTCCGCCCAGGAAATCCCCTCTGCAGTTGCAGTACTCAGAGCCTCCTCCAGGGGGCGCTGTGACCTCTGTAGCTGCAGTACTCAGAGCCTCCTCCAGGGGGCGCTGTGACCTCTGCAGCTGCAGTACTCAGAGCCTCCTTCAGGGGGCGCTGTGACCTCTGCAGCTGCAGTACTCAGAGCCTCTTTATATATCTGTATCTATAGAGTGGCGAAGTGGATGATCATTGGATGAGCAAATTCAACTGAACAATTTACAAATTCAATAAAGGGAGCTTTTATTCGTTCGAGAGCCCGATGGATTGAGCAAGGAGAGAAAAACACTTCTTATTTCTTCAATCTTGAAAAGCAAAGACAAGTGAAAAAGAAAATCCAAAAACTGATTATTATGATGTCACTATTGAAAATCAAGACCAGATAAATGAAGAAATTAGACTTTTTTATAGCAATTTATATAACTCAAAGTTTTCTAAAGAAAATTGTGATAACTTTTTTAGTAAAATTACAGAATTCAAAAAGACAATAGATTATTCTTTTAAACAGTATATGGACGATGGACTAAAAATTGAAGAATTAGATAGTGCATTACTGCAAATGTCTGGTGTAAAATCACCAGGGCTGGATGGTTTAACCATAGAGTTTTATAAATGTTTTTGGTCAGATGTGCGAGAAATGCTTTATAAGGCGTTCACAGATTGCATTTCAGCAGGAAACCTTTCGCCAACCATGAAACATGGCCTTATTACCTTAATTCCAAAACCAAATAAAAATAATCTTTTGTTGGATAATTGGAGACCTATTACCCTGTTATGTAATGATTACAAACTTTTAGCACATGTTTATGCTAACAGGTTAAACTCGGGTCTGAATCAACTAATAGATGAATGTCAATCAGCCTTTATAAAGGGCAGAAGTATTCATAACCATACCAGACTGATATTGGATATGCTTGATTACCAGGAGTTTATTGATACTGAAGGTCTCGTACTATTTCTGGATTTTGATACTGTTAAGGCTTTTGATACTGTTGAACATTCCTTTTTAATGAAAACTCTGACATTTCTGGGTTTTGGTGAACATTTCTGCAACATAATTAGGATGCTCTACTCGGACATTTATAGTTCTGTATCTTTGAACCCTGGAATGAGCCCTAGGTTTAAGGTTTTACGTGGTATTCGACAGGGTTGCCCTATTTCCCCCAAATTATTTATTCTGACCACCCAAGTATTAACAACGCTTATTATAAAGAATCACAAAATATTAGGCATTACCCTCTTTAACAAAGAGTTCAAAATTAGTCAATTTGCAGATGACACATCCATTTTCCTAAAGAATAAATCCATGGTAAAGGAAACTCTTAACACAATTTCAATTTTTTCAAAAGCATCAGGGTTATCTCTTAATCTTTCAAAATGTGAATTACTCCCTATCCATTCATGTGATGATTCCACTATTGACTCTATTAGAGTGGTACCTGAGGTGAAATATTTGGGAATAACATTATCTAAAAATTATATCAGGAGAGAAGATCTTAATATTTGTAACCGTATCACAGATATGAAGAAATCTCTCAGTCGTTGGTTAACTAGAGATCTTACTATTTTTGGCAGAGTTCTTCTTACTAAAGCAGAAGGTATATCTAAACTTATTTATCCATGCCACTCATGTTTTGTCTCTTCGGCTAATATAAAAAAAGCCAACTCAATTATTTTCCAATTCTTGTGGAGAAATAAAACTCACTACATTAAAAAGTCACAGCTTGTTAAAGAATATGATAAAGGCGGAATTAAAGCTTTAGACTTTGAATCGATGATTGGAACAATTAAAATAAAATGGTTGAAAGCTTTTTTGTCCCAGCCAGAATCCATGTGGTTCCATATTCCAAAGGCCATATTTAAACGTCTAGGAGGGTTTGATTTTCTTTTAAAATGTGATTTTGAGGTTAATAAGATTCCGACCAAATTGTCAAATTTTCATAAGCAGATACTTCATTATTGGAAGATGATATTTACCCACAATTTTTCTCCTCATGGATCTACGTTATGGAACAATAGAGTGATTATCATAAACAGAAAATCCTTGTTTAGGAGTGATTGGCATGAGAGGGGTATTTTGTTTGTTAGTGATTTACTAGATTGCAATGGTAAACTGCTCGATTTTTTGGCCTTTTCAACGAAATACAATATAACGTGTACTGCTAAAGATTATAACAAAATCTGTAAAGCAATTCCTGTACCACTTATTGGAATGATTCATAATACTTTACTGTACTCAAATGTTGTATCAGTTTTACCTAATTTGGAAATTATTGGCGATACTCTTAAGAATAACAAATCTATTAATGCTTCCCTGAAATCCCACATTTTTCACAATTTTAACAGAGGCTTATTTCCTCAAGTGACCGATTTAGACACTTTATCTGTAATGGAAAAAGCTCTATCTTATTTTATAAAATGGCCTATTTCCCCTAAAGCAAAAGAAACTCATTTTAAAATTGTTCATAAAATCTACCCGGTTTCTACTTTTTTAAATTCAAGATTTAAATTTGAAGTGGAACCATGTTCCTTTTGTAATTTATCTGATGAATCGTTGAAACATTTATTTTTCTCTTGCCCTTTTTCTGAATTGTTTTGGTCGAATGTGAGAGATTGGTTGTTACTTAAATTAACAAATATTCCGGCCTTCAAAATATATCACATTTTATATTATATTGATAATTTGGACTCTCCCATTTCTGATTTGGTAAATATAATTATTATTTTGGGTAAATACCATTTACATTGTAGTAAATGGAGAGGAGGCAAGCCCTCCTTTCCCTGTTTCATAAATGAGTTCAAGTCCTTTTTTCTGTCCCTTAGAAAAATACAATCTTGTAACCTGTCTATAAAGATTTGCAATGACATTTCCAAATGGTTATTATTTTAAGTAAGCTTAATGCCTCTTAAATGTTTTTGTGCCTTTATGCTTTTTTCTTTCCCCCTGGCTCTTATTGGATGTATTATTTATGTTTTTTTGTCTTATTGTGAATGAATGTCTTGAACTTATGTTGATAAGTTGATGATATCCTCACCGAGCTTTTGTATGTTTAAAAAGATGTTAAAAAAAAAAAAAAAAAGAGTGGCGAAGTCCCTCCCCTTCCGGTGGAGCTCCATGGGACCTTATTTCGGAAAAATTATGTATTGAAGTCAATGGAGAGAGAAAGATTATCTTTCGATCCCGTTTGAATTGTGCCACGAATTACTAGTGATGGCAAAATGAAGCTTTGAATGAAGCATCGAACCACTTGGACAATTGTGTCGGAAATAGGTTCATTTCTCGAAGCTTCAGTTACAGCGACCTCTCCTGGCGAAGTGCAAGGCTGCAGTGGGTTTAACGTATCTTTGCCTTGAAAAATATTCGATGCACACACACACAAGACTGAATATCATGTTCTATTTGCAATTAAAGATTGATAATTGTGCGTATTGGGTTATTGAGAAGAGACTAGAGAGTGCTGGAATTTTGTTTGGGCGGAGAGGGCCTTTTATCAGTTAATAAAGTATTAAAGTTGAAAAGGAATGATTAAAAGTTCATCTGTTCCGGGCTTTGAACCAGCTGCGCGGAGGTCATCGTCGCTTCGGGCCGCCGGCTCTATCCACTGGGCTATCTATACCTTAAGTTAGTAACATGGTTTTCATATTAGTGTTAATTGTCTTTTTGTTCACAACTTCTCCACATTTCGAAGTGTTCCCGAGCCAGAACGACCTATCTTTCTTCCTGGCTTGCAATACCAACAACAACTCAACAGCAACAACGCAAACTACGACAACAACCCACACATTGCGCATTGTTTAGAGCGGTTATAAGTGTTGAAGCGCTCAAATTCGAAACTGTTTCAACCTGTCACCTGTCAGAATAGAGACGAGGCAGTGCATTGAATCGCGTGATTGGACCGCGAACCAGTCAAGTGATTCATTCAGGAAATGAAGCAGTTGGTGCTTCGGACGTCATATGTCACGTGATTTGAAGCAGTTGCTGGTTCGGACGTCATATGTCACGTGATTTGAAGCAAGCTTCGAATCACTGCTTCTATGGAATAGGAAGTCCAAGGTTGAAGCTCCGTTCGAAGCTTCAGTGTCAAACTGCCATCACTACGAATTACACATATGATGTTTGTCAATTTAAAAGATAATTTTGCAAGTCAAAAATAAAAAAATGTGTCGTAAAACTGTGAAGTAACACATTTGTTTGTGTGAAACGCTCAATGAACTACATCTCTGGTCAACAACACACGTCACCAAGATGGCCGTCACTACTGTCTTGTCAACAAAACGATTGACTACCCTCACTATCACCACAATGAAACACGTCCTGAAGAATGTCATGCAAAGCTGCCTGCCTGCCTTCCTTTGATTCTCTCTGAACTGCCTGGTCGTTTTAATGTTTAATGCAGGGTTGCCAACTTTGGGTACCTGGCTGGAGTGAGATTTTGATATCATGGGTTTAATTCGGTTTAATTACACATATGCGCACGAAATGACTTATCGTGTCAGCAGCGGGACCTTAGCATATATATAGGATATATATACAATATATACAAATACACAATAATGGACACAGACTATAAAGGGCACACAGTTTCATTCACTAATGAAAGTCAAACATGTTTGTTTCCACTGTTTTATTGTGTGCCTGTCGCGATAAGCAATTAATTGACTTATCGTACGATAAATAAAAATGAACTCGATAACTTTTCTGACCTCGATAAATTGCCATTTACATGAGGATGTGACTAGCAGTTTGAAAGGATGTACTTGAATTATTATTATATATTATCATTATGTCAGTGGTCTAAAATGGTCATACAACGGTGCCGACAATATTATCGTTTATCGCAATAATTTCCGGGAAAATGTATCCAACAAAATTAATTATCGTGAGAGGCCTATACATGAAACACAGACACACAAACAAATCTATAGACTTACTCCAAACTGCCAAATATATTAATTAACACACTCTCACTCTCATATACTCTTTGACTCTATTTTGGCCTAGTAGAACAATAACCAGCAGACTTTTACTTTTTTATCATTTCTACTGGATCTTAGATCTGCGCATGCGCAATACGGGTCGGCAGTTGCGGCTCCAGAGTATTTTTGTTGCGTAATCTATGGTAGGGCTAACCCATACAGTGGTGGGGCTCAAATCAGTATTTGCAATGTAATTGCATACACGCTCCCCCCGACAGTGAAACGCCACGCGTGAGGTTTAGATTATTTCCCTGTCTCAATCCAAATTGAACTGTATGAAATAAAAAGGCACATTTGTCTTGTAGTAAATAAAAAGGGCGACCTGGAGCCAATCCTGCAATTTCCCCACAAGTGAAAGAGTTGACATGCTGAAAACTCAACCCCTGCAGGGGGGTCTGGGGGGAGTCTCCCCCAGGAGATTTTTTGAAACATAAAATACACATTCTTGTACTCTCTTGAGAAGAAAAATAAATAAATCTATTACTACACGACATATTTAAAAAAATGAATGCCATTTTAGTTTTTTGTTACTTTGTTCTGAAAGCTGAACCTGCTGCTCCTCACAGAGAGAAGAGGGAAGAGGCTGTGTGAATTACTTTACATTGTGGATAAGGGTGGATAGCCCCCATTGTTCTGTGTGTCAAAATGAAAGACAGCCCACACACCTATCAATCATCAAACCGTGGGGTCTTATTTCATTACGTGTTGATTTCTATCAACACGTAATGTTGTATCGATGTATATAGAGATGTACTACCGCAAAAGTATTCTCCGTCGGGACTTCCTGCAACAACACCACGCCGTTATCGTGATTCTGATTGGCCAGAAGACATTATCAAAGATGTTCTATTGAGAAGACGATCACTCCGTGACAAAAGTTTTCAAAACCGTTTCCAGTCTTCGGTATTCTTGTTTTTGGCGTGAGAATAGTTTGAGCAGCGTGAGAGCGTGAGATTGAGAGTGAAAGCGTGTGTCACACGCCAGATGCGTGAGAGTTGGCAACCCTGGTTTAATGTCAACCATTTGTGCAGATAGCATGAAGTAGAGAAGATCGCTAGCGTTAGCATTTCTCCCCCGGGCTTAAATTGTGTATTATAGAATGATCACACCGGTGACAGTACTCTTCAAAGGGTTCACGAAATATGACTACTACTCTTACTGTTTAACATTTTGGGTTACTTAATGTTACTTCATGTTAAGGCTAATAAAAATGACAAGGCTGTAATGCTAACTAACGTGCTAGCTACTAGCTAGGTAGCTAACTTGATCAAGCCACTCCTGGTCCTTTCATCAGACGGGAAGCAAAAGAACGAGCAAGACCCATTGCTGGTATGATAACAACCTGGTACTAAGCACACAGGCATCTTGTTAAAGTTATCTTATCTTAGCCAGCGCCATATAGATAGATTATATCTATATGGCGATGATCTTAGAGTGGAGGAAAACAATTGTGACATCACCTACGCGACTCTGGGATTTGTAGTCTTTCTAGTTACGTATTTTTCAGTCTTATATTTCAACAGTTTTACGACAAACTGTGACTTTTTTGACATGGAAATTATTTTTTAAGATTGACAAACATCTATGTGTAATTCATGGCACAATTCAAACGGGATCGAAAGATAAGTTTTCTCTCTCCATTGACTTCAATACATTATTTTTCCGAAATAAGGTCCCATGGGGCGGAAGTAGATGGGCGTGACTTCGCCACTCTATATATAAAAATATTTAAATATAAGTATAAATTTAAATAAATGTTTATATAAACCTTTTCCACTCTTAATGTTTATTAAGTATTATTACAAAAATATCTCTCTCTCTCTCTCTCTCTCTCTCTCTCTCTCTCTCTCTCTCTCTCGCTCTCTCTCTCTCTCTCTCTCTCTCTCTCTCTCTCTCTCTCTCCTCTCTCTCTCTCTCTCTCTCTCTCTCTCTCTCTCTCTCTCTCTCTCTCTCTCTCTCTCTCTCTCTCTCTCTCTCTCTCTCACACACCTACAGCTCCTAAAGCATAATCAGGCTACAGCCGTTGTGTATTTTATTTTGTGAAGCACTAAATGGTCTTAGAAAAAGATGGACTCTTTGTTTGTAGATATACTAAACTAAAGCAAATAAATCCAGAGAGTAATGTAGGCCTGTTATACTGAGTGATATATATTATACACACTGCTCTGCTTTCTGCACGGACCTCACAGCAGAGGCCTGTACTACGAAGCCGGATTTTCTCTTAGCCGGCTGACTTCAGGGAAAACTCGGGCTTTCCGGTCCTACGACGCTGGTTCTCTTTTTAGCGGGCTAGATCTCCATGGTAACTTATGCTGAGCGGCTAACCTCCTCGGGAGCAGGTTAGGTTGCAGGCTAAGAGATCAACTCAGTGAAAGCTATCAAGTCATATTACAGGATAGAGGAAATACAGAAAAACTGCCGTTGCAGGAAAGACGGCCGGCAAAAATCAACTGACTGTGAACGTGAAAATTAATAGAATATCCCCTCCCATCTTCAGAGCAATCTGACTATTATAACATTAGCGTTAAGAAAGCTTACTTAAAGTGGACCTATCATGCTATATTTGAATAATATAGTGTAGGACCATACCTATATAAGGCATATTTATACTTTTTTTTTTTCAAAATACCAAACAGATCATGCATTTTAGCCATGCCTCATTTCGCTCAATTTGACAATTTCTAGCTCTGGGCAGATTCAGTGAGAACAGCACCATCTACTGGCCTGGCATATGTACTACAGCGTCTCCAGCGCTTTCGAACGGCAATGGCCGTGGCTGTCTCCTCCTGATTGGTGGAGTTGGCCCAATAGCCGTAGCGCCACTGTACTGACGTCAGGACAGTGTTCAAATCTGGATCAGTTTTTATCAGATCCGTTGCAGCCCCTTTTTTAGAGATTTGGGTATGGAGGAAAATAGAGAGGGTTGTGTTTTCTGACACTTGGTGAGTTCCCTGGAACACCGGAGACACATATTCATGTATAAAAGACGTACAAAAGTGCATTTTGCATGATAGGTCCCCTTTAAATATCTGCCACAACATAAGTAACCGGATCAGAGTAACATTAAGTACAGTCCGCGGCACTGTGAGTGCAGACGTCGATGTGTCCCATTATCATTCATATCATATCACATCATAATGTATCATATATCTCCTTATCTGAGTCAGCTGAGCCGTATCTGGCCATGCAACACTCACAGTGTCACATACTGTATGCAGAAGTATTATTTTAAGCAACACATTAAGTTGACGAAACACTCGAGTCAAATGTAATTAAAGTCAGATCGTGTCTTGGACGGGGCAGTGATATCATAAACCTGTTAATGTACGCATTCAAACGCTTTTTCTTTTACCAGCTGTATTCACCTTGCAGGTGCAGCTATGTGGCTTTTATCCTGGATAAAGTGTTTAAGTCATGGATGTTTAAAGTTTAACTTCTTCATATTTGTCTAATATTAAAGTTCACTTTTCATTCAGGAAGTATGACGCTGCGCTGTCAGTACGCTTGTCCATGTTTGTGATTGGTCGAATGCTCCAAATACCACCCCTTTCATGTGAACGCGCACCTAACTAGATAGGACACGGCTGGCTTGAGCGATCCACTTGATAACCAGCGTCGTAGTACAGTTTAGCGAGAGCGCGTATGTTTTGGATTGGGCCAACCGGCTAACTCCAACATATCCAGGTTAGGAAAATCCGGCTTCGTAGTACAGGCCTCTGTTCTCTCTGGAAACATCGCGTCGCGATGAAAGCAGTTACTAAAATAATATCCAGGGGATGCATGCAGAGCTGTGATTGGCTGAGATCAGTCCGGCCGTGCGTCACGCCTCCACCGTTCCCGGAAATGCATCCGCGGAGGACCCATCAGTGTCTCCTCGGTTATAGCTCCTCCAGAGAGCCTCAATTAGAGTATTGAGAAACCTCTTCTCTCTCTCTCTCTACCCAGCAGGAGGTCAGTCTCTCCTTCTGTCTCTCTCTACCCAGCAGGAGGTCAGTCTCTCCTTCTCTCTCTCTCTACCCAGCAGGAGGTCAGTCTCTCCTTCTGTCATTGGTGGAGAAATCAGCTTAAAGACAACATATTGATGTTTATGTATTGATGTTTATTTATTGACGTTTGAAGGAAGAGCAGAAACTGTGGAAGAAGAAGGAAATTCTTTTATTGAACTTTGGTTTTATTTTCCTGCCCTGAGTGACCAACCCCCCCCCCCCCCCCACACACAAACACACACACACACACAGATTCAAATCAGGCCACGCCCACAAGTGATAGGTCCGGTTTCTGATTGGTCCACAGAGAGACGACAGGTAACCTCCCACCTGACCAATAACAGTCCCACTGAAATAACTGCAGCATCAAGTATAAAATAAAACTAATTAAATACAGGAGACGAAATGTATATAAAATAAAATGAATCATAATAAAGATAAAAGAGGGGCGGAGTCAGAGTCACGAGGCCAGGGACTTCTGGGAGTCGGAGTCCTGAGGAGAGGAGACGCATTAGGAACCAGCAGAGTATATGTCTTTAGACTCTGAGGATTCTGGGATATGTAGTCTCACCTCCTTTGTGTCAGCGACCTCCTCTTCCTCAGCAGGACTCTCCTCCATCTTGTCCTCCATCTTGTCCTCCTCCTCGGCCCCGCCCCCCTCGGCCCCGCCCCCCTCGGCCACGCCCCCCTCGGCCACGCCCCCTTCCAGCCCATGCTCCGCCTCCCACTCCTGCAGAACCTCGTCCAGGTTGAACCTCCGTCTGTAGTTCACCAGGAAGTTCTTCACCTGCACCACCGACTTGTTTCCAATCACATCGGAGATGGCCTGGAAGTCCCGCCCATACTTCCTGATGGCTGTGTGTGATTGGACAAGAAAGAGGGTCACTGACCAATCACTGAGGGAGAGGGTTAATCAGTACAGGTGTTCCAGGTGTTACCTTGTACAGCAAGCAGCTGCTCCTCCGTCGTCCAGCGGGTGTTAAACTTCTGATTCACCTGAAACAACAACAACATGAACAGCTGTTTTTACTCTACAGAAACCTGGTCTGGGTCTGATCAGCTGACCTCTGAACAGCTGACCTCTGAACAGCTGGGTTGCAGTCGAATAGTCCAAAAATCAGCTCCTATCGTCTATCCCTGTCGTCTATCCATATCGTTTATCCCCTATCGTCTATCCCTATCCCTAACGTCTATCCCTATCCTTATTGTCTATCCCTATCGTCTATCCCTATCGTTTATCCCCTATCGTCTATCCCTATCGTCTATCCCTGTCGTTTATCCCCTATCGTCTATCCCTGTCGTCTATCCCTGTCGTCTATCCCTATCATCTATCCCTGTCGTTTATCCCCTATCGTCTATCCCTGTCGTCTATCCCTGTCGTCTATCCCTATCGTCTATCGTCTATCCCCAACGTCTATCCCTATCGTCTATCCCCAACGTCTATCCCTAACGTCTATCCCTAACGTCTATCCCTAACGTCTATCCCTATCGTCTATTCCTAACGTCTATCCCTATCGTCTATCCCTATCGTCTATCCCTAACGTCTATCCCTATCGTCTATCCCTAACGTCTATCCCTATCGTCTATCCCTAACGTCTATCCCTATCGTCTATCCCTATCCCTAACGTCTATCCCTATCGTCTATCGTCTATCCCTATCGTCTATTCCTAACGTCTATCCCTATCGTCTATCCCTATCGTCTATCGTCTATCCCTATCGTCTATCCCTAACGTCTATCCCTATCGTCTATCGTCTATCCCTAACGTCTATCCCTATCGTCTATCCCTATCGTCTATCCCTAACGTCTATCCCTATCGTCTATCCCTAACGTCTATCCCTATCGTCTATCGTCTATCCCTATCGTCTATCGTCTATCCCTATCGTCAATCCCTAACGTCTATCCCTAACGTCTATCCCTGACGTCTATCCCTATCGTCTATCCCTAACGTCTATCCCTATCGTCTATCCCTATCGTCTATCGTCTATCCCTATCGTCTATCCCTAACGTCTATCCCTATCGTCTATCGTCTATCCCTATCGTCTATCGTCTATCGTCAATCCCTAACGTCTATCCCTAACGTCTATCCCTGTCGTCTATCCCTAACGTCTATCCCTATCGTCTATCCCTATCGTCTATCGTCTATCCCTAACGTCTATCCCTATCGTCTATCCCTAACGTCTATCCCTATTGTCTATCCCTATCGTCTATCCCTATCGTCTATCCCTATCGTCTATCCCTATCGTCTATCCCTATCCCTAACGTCTATCCCTATTGTCTATCGTCTATCCCTATCGTCTATCCCTAACGTCTATCCCTATCGTCTATCCCTATCGTCTATCGTCTATCCCTAACGTCTATCCCTATCGTCTATCCCTAACGTCTATCCCTATCGTCTATCCCTAACATCTATCCCTATCGTCTATCCCTAACGTCTATCCCTAACGTCTATCCCTATCGTCTATCCCCTATCGTCTATCCCTATCGTCTATCCCTATCCCCTATCCCTAATCGTCTATCCCTGTCGTCTATCCCTATCGTCTATCGTCTATCCCTATCGTCTATCCCTATCGTCTATCCCTATCGTCTATCCCTATCGTCTATCGTCTATCCCTATCCCTAACGTCTATCCCTATCGTCTATCCCCATCGTCTATCTCTAACGTCTATCCCTATCGTCTATCCCTAACGTCTATCCCTATCGTCTATCCCTATCGTCTATCGTCTATCCCTAACGTCTATCCCTATCGTCTATCCCTAACGTCTATCCCTATCGTCTATCCCTAACGTCTATCCCTATCGTCTATCCCTATCGTCTATCCCTATCCCTAACGTCTATCCCTATTGTCTATCGTCTATCCCTATCGTCTATCCCTAACGTCTATCCCTATCGTCTATCCCTATCGTCTATCGTCTATCCCTAACGTCTATCCCTATCGTCTATCGTCTATCCCTATTGTCTATCGTCTATCCCTAACGTCTATCCCTATCGTCTATCCCTATCGTCTATCCCTAACGTCTATCCCTATCGTCTATCCCTAACGTCTATCCCTATCGTCTATCCCTATCGTCTATCCCCTATCGTCTATCCCTATCGTCTATCCCCTATCCCTAATCGTCTATCCCTATCGTCTATCCCTGTCGTCTATCCCTGTCGTCTATCCCTGTCGTCTATCCCTATCGTCTATCGTCTATCCCTATCGTCTATCCCTATCGTCTATCCCTATCGTCTATCGTCTATCCCTATCGTCTATCCCTATCGTTTATCCCCTATCGTCTATCCCTATCGTCTATCGTCTATCCCTAACGTCTATCCCTAACGTCTATCCCTATCGTCTATCCCCTATCCCCATCGTCTATCCCCAACGTCTATCCCTATCGTCTATCCCTAACGTCTATCCCTATCGTCTATCCCTATCCCTATCGTCTATCGTCTATCCCTATCGTCAATCCCTAACGTCTATCCCTAACGTCTATCCCTAACGTCTATCCCTAACGTCTATCCCTATCGTCTATCCCTAACGTCTATCTCTATCGTCTATCCCTAACGTCTATCCCTATCGTCTATCCCTAACGTCTATCCCTATCGTCTATCCCTAACGTCTATCCCTATCGTCTATCCCTAACGTCTATCCCTATCGTCTATCCCTATCGTCTATCGTCTATCCCTATCGTCTATCCCTAACGTCTATCCCTATCGTCTATCGTCTATCCCTATCGTCTATCCCTAACGTCTATCCCTATCGTCTATCCCTATCGTCTATCCCTAACGTCTATCCCTATCGTCTATCCCTAACGTCTATCCCTATCGTCTATCCCTATCGTCTATCCCTAACGTCTATCCCTAACGTCTATCCCTAACGTCTATCCCTATCGTCTATCCCTATCGTCTATCCCCTATCGTCTATCCCTATCGTCTATCCCCTATCCCTAATCGTCTATCCCTATCGTCTATCCCTGTCGTCTATCCCTGTCGTCTATCCCTGTCGTCTATCCCTATCGTCTATCGTCTATCCCTATCGTCTATCCCTATCGTCTATCCCTATCGTCTATCGTCTATCCCTATCGTCTATCCCCATCGTTTATCCCCTATCGTCTATCCCTATCGTCTATCGTCTATCCCTAACGTCTATCCCTAACGTCTATCCCTATCGTCTATCCCCTATCCCCATCGTCTATCCCCAACGTCTATCCCTATCGTCTATCCCTAACGTCTATCCCTAACGTCTATCCCTATCGTCTATCCCTATCCCTATCGTCTATCGTCTATCCCTATCGTCAATCCCTAACGTCTATCCCTAACGTCTATCCCTAACGTCTATCCCTAACGTCTATCCCTATCGTCTATCCCTAACGTCTATCCCTATTGTCTATCCCTAACGTCTATCCCTATCGTCTATCCCTAACGTCTATCCCTATCGTCTATCCCTAACGTCTATCCCTATCGTCTATCCCTAACGTCTATCCCTATCGTCTATCCCTAACGTCTATCCCTATCGTCTATCCCTATCGTCTATCGTCTATCCCTATCGTCTATCCCTAACGTCTATCCCTATCGTCTATCGTCTATCCCTATCCCTAACGTCTATCCCTATCGTCTATCCCTATCGTCTATCCCTAACGTCTATCCCTATCGTCTATCCCTAACGTCTATCCCTATCGTCTATCCCTAACGTCTATCCCTAACGTCTATCCCTATCGTCTATCCCCTATCGTCTATCCCTATCGTCTATCCCTATCCCCTATCCCTAATCGTCTATCCCTATCGTCTATCCCTAACGTCTATCCCTAACGTCTATCCCTATCGTCTATCCCTATCGTCTATCCCTAATCGTCTATCCCTAATCGTCTATCCCTAATCGTCTATCCCTAACGTCTATCCCTATCGTCTATCCCTATCGTCTATCCCTAACGTCTATCCCTATCGTCTATCCCTAACGTCTATCCCTATCGTCTATCCCTAACGTCTATCCCTATCGTCTATCCCTAACGTCTATCCCTATCGTCTATCCCTAACGTCTATCCCTATCGTCTATCCCTAACGTCTATCCCTAACGTCTATCCCTATCGTCTATCCCCTATCGTCTATCCCTATCGTCTATCCCTATCCCCTATCGTCTATCCCTAACGTCTATCCCTATCCCTATCGTCTATCCCTATCGTCTATCCCTATCGTCTATCCCCATCGTCTATCCCTATCGTCTATCCCTAACGTCTATCCCTATCGTCTATCCCTATCCCTATCCCCTATCGTCTATCCCTATCGTCTATCCCTAACGTCTATCCCTATCGTCTATCGTCTATCCCTATCGTCTATCCCTAACGTCTATCCCTATCGTCTATCCCTAACGTCTATCCCTATCCCCTATCGTCTATCCCTATCGTCTATCCCTATCGTCTATCCCTATCGTCTATCCCTATCCCCTATCATCTATCCCCTATCGTCTATCCCTATCCCTAACGTCTATCCCTATCCTTATTGTCTATCCCTATCGTCTATCCCTATCGTTTATCCCCTATCGTCTATCCCTATCGTCTATCCCTGTCGTTTATCCCCTATCGTCTATCCCTGTCGTCTATCCCTATCGTCTATCCCTATCGTCTATCGTCTATCCCTATCGTCTATCCCTAACGTCTATCCCTATCGTCTATCGTCTATCGTCAATCCCTAACGTCTATCCCTATCGTCTATCCCTATCGTCTATCGTCTATCCCTATCGTCTATCCCTAACGTCTATCCCTATCGTCTATCGTCTATCGTCAATCCCTAACGTCTATCCCTAACGTCTATCCCTGTCGTCTATCCCTAACGTCTATCCCTATCGTCTATCCCTATCGTCTATCGTCTATCCCTAACGTCTATCCCTATCGTCTATCCCTAATGTCTATCCCTATTGTCTATCCCTATCGTCTATCCCTATCGTCTATCCCTATCCCTAACGTCTATCCCTATTGTCTATCGTCTATCCCTATCGTCTATCCCTAACGTCTATCCCTATCGTCTATCCCTATCGTCTATCGTCTATCCCTAACGTCTATCCCTATCGTCTATCCCTATCGTCTATCCCTAACGTCTATCCCTATCGTCTATCCCTAACGTCTATCCCTATCGTCTATCCCTAACGTCTATCCCTAACGTCTATCCCTATCGTCTATCCCCTATCGTCTATCCCTATCGTCTATCCCTATCCCCTATCCCTAATCGTCTATCCCTGTCGTCTATCCCTATCGTCTATCGTCTATCCCTATCGTCTATCCCTATCGTCTATCCCTATCGTCTATCCCTATCGTCTATCGTCTATCCCTATCCCTAACGTCTATCCCTATCGTCTATCCCCATCGTCTATCTCTAACGTCTATCCCTATCGTCTATCCCTAACGTCTATCCCTATCGTCTATCCCTATCGTCTATCGTCTATCCCTAACGTCTATCCCTATCGTCTATCCCTAACGTCTATCCCTATCGTCTATCCCTAACGTCTATCCCTATCGTCTATCCCTATCGTCTATCCCTATCCCTAACGTCTATCCCTATTGTCTATCGTCTATCCCTATCGTCTATCCCTAACGTCTATCCCTATCGTCTATCCCTATCGTCTATCGTCTATCCCTATCGTCTATCCCTAACGTCTATCCCTATCGTCTATCCCTAACGTCTATCCCTATCGTCTATCCCTAACGTCTATCCCTATCGTCTATCCCTATCGTCTATCCCTAACGTCTATCCCTATCGTCTATCCCTAACGTCTATCCCTATCGTCTATCCCTATCGTCTATCCCCTATCGTCTATCCCTATCGTCTATCCCTAACGTCTATCCCTATCCCCTATCGTCTATCCCTATCGTCTATCCCTATCGTCTATCCCTATCGTCTATCCCTATCCCCTATCATCTATCCCTAACGTCTATCCCTAACGTCTATCCCTAACGTCTATCCCTATCGTCTATCCCTATCGTCTATCCCTATCGTCTATCCCTATCGTCTATCCCCATTGTCTACCCCTTGACCTCTGAGTGAAACGTCACGGGGTTAAGGGATAGTGGATAGGAGAATTCAAAAGGACTTAGGAGAAGAGACTGCGGTACTTTAGAGAATCGACTGCACTTCCACTATCCGACGTGTTTATGACGCGCCAGCGGACGTCATAAATGTGCGTCTGCTGCTGTGGGGAAACTATGGAAACTACAGTTTTCTATACAGCGGACTACAACATGGATGTTTAATAAGAACGAGGGACTACTGTAAACTCATCTAGAGACTCTGCACCGTGCTCTGATGCTGTTGCTTTATGCTTTATGAACGGGGACAACAGAGAAACATATTCTTCATGACCAAAGTTGGAATTGAAATAAAAAAGGAAAGTGAAACTTATGCTCGTCACCCTCTCCCTCCGGTCCACATTAATACAAATGATCCCAATACGTATGATTGTATGAAAAGATCTTAAAATCAATACAAATGTATTTATTATAAACGTTAGTCCTTAACATCTATCACTGTGTATATCACCATTCAAACATCTTTTAAAAGTTGAACAATTAATTTGAATTAATTTAAGTTTTCTGCACTCTCGCGGGAATATCTCCGCAATGGAGCGAGCTTAAGTTTCACTTTAGATTGCATGATATAGCCCAGCGCAACACCTTCGTCAGACATGTTGCCACTTGTTTGTACCATTTTCAGGCGATTTGTAATCTGTTCTAGAAAAACGATGTGTTTTTTTGGATTTCAAGAAGCAAATAGAACAAACAATGGATGTATTTTATGAACATTTATCCATGCTGGAAGTAGATTTAGATGTTAGGAGTGAGATAGAGATTATTATCTATATATATATGCATTTATTTTGTAATCATCTCGCGACCCCCACTCGGGGTCTCGCGACCCCCCTGATCTAGAGAATTGGAACGGCACTTATCATGGCTGCCACTGAGGGACTTCCGGGTCATTTCACTCCGTTAGGAAGGTTCCTAAGCTAAATGGACTATTCGACTGCAACCCTGATCTTTGAACAGCTGACCTCTGAACAGCTGACCTCTGAACAGCTGCTCTCTGAACAGCTGATCTACTCCCTGAACAGCTGACCTCTGAACAGCTGCTCTCTGAACAGCTGATCTACTCCCTGAACAGCTGACCTCTGAACAGCTGATCTCTTCTCTGAACAGCTGACCTCTGAACAGCTGATTTACTCCCTGAACAGCTGATCTACTCTCTGAACAGCTGATCTCTGAACAGCTGATCTACTCTCTGAACAGCTGATCTCTGAACAGCTGATCGTTACCTCAGGTTGTCTGAAGTCGTCGACTCCGGAGCAGATCTTCTCCTTCAGAGAGCTGTTGGACTGTTTGATGCTCTGGATCTGTTCAACGAGAGAGAGACAGGTGAGAGTTAGACAGGTGAGAGTCAGACAGGTGAGAGTCAGACAGGTGAGAGTCAGACAAGTGAGAGTCAGACAAGTGAGAGTCAGACAGGTGAGAGTTAGACAGGTGAGAGTCAGACAAGTGAGAGTCAGACAGGTGAGAGTCAGACAATTGAGAGTTAGACAGGTGAGAGTCAGACAGGTGAGAGTTAGACAGGTGAGAGTCAGACAAGTGAGAGTTAGACAGGTGAGAGTCAGACAAGTGAGAGTCAGACAGGTGAGAGTCAGACAGGTGAGAGTTAGACAGGTGAGAGGGATTCCACCGGGTCCGTCTGCGCCGCTTTACGGCTGCGCCACGGCGTTCACAGCGATCGCGGCCAGTCTAGTCAATGGGTGCTATTCCACCAGATGCGCCGTGTTACGGCTCAGAAGCGTCCCAGAAGCGTCTCGGCGCTGGGCTCCGCTCAAAATAGGCAGCTGATCTATTTTTGACGCGAGGTGTTGCAGAGCGCCGGGCAGGAAGTGGAACGGTCAGAG